AAAAGTTTGCACGATTTTCACAAGAGATTGGCTTGGCTTCTTTGGGTACAAGTGACGAAGAAATAAAGAAATTAGCCACTGTATGTCTTTTTCTGAGGAGCCCGAGTGCTGTATGGCAATCTTACTTTACGACATATTATGACAAATTTCCACAAACCAATTATTGAAATTGTTAGCCTATGTATACAGATTTTAACCACTAAATCTATAATTGAGTGGATAAGGAATACAGAATTATATAAAAAATGAATCTAGAACAAAGAGTTAATGAAGGTTTTGAGACTCAATTTTGAATTTCCTACTTATGCCGACAAGATACATTAGTTGCCTTCAGGTGGACCAGCGTTCTGAACAATCGATTATCCAATGTATTTTGAAAAGGAATGATGCTTATCAGTTATTTAAGTCAGTTTCATTTAAATGGGTGAATCATCTTCTGAAACGCACCTTAGATATAACAGACTAGTGTGGTAATTTATATACATTAATATAACGGACTTGTTATAAGTCAAAGGTTGCGTTTCATTGAAGAAATAAACAAATTCGGGGAAGAGTATTTTCTTTTCGATGATATAACTTATTTAAGCCATAAATTTATAAATATATTCATATATAGAGAACTCTCTTAGATTGATTTGTAAATTATCTGGGAGCACCAAACATCTAATGGAGGTTGCGCAATGACGTAATGGCTAGTTAGAAAACGTTAAGTTGAAAATGGTTTGTAGACGAGCGATAATTATTCACTTCACAAATCTGAAGAACAGAATAATTAAGTGGTTTTATAATAGAATGGGGGTTTGTGGAGATTACAGTAATTTTAATAGCTGAATTCATGAGTCGATGTAAGGTAGATCACCATTGAAAACCTGAAAGAACTGAATGGCCATTTATTTCTAGTATGGGACTCCTCAGTAGTGCACATGTACGAACCCGCATACGTGACTTGAACCCAGGACCTTCGGACTCGCGCAAAAACGTTTAAGCTGTAGACCACTGAGCCGGTGTTAATGACTAACTTCAGTCGATCCATGATCTAGCGCAACCACTCATCCATTGTCTAAGGTAGATGCCTGTCTCTTCCATCGTCTTTTCCTAATTCCCTCTTCAGCTGGAAGCTGGTTTTTTCTCCCCCACAGTAGGTTGTTGCTGATTATATCCGGTCAACGGACATTCAGTACCTTGTTTACATAACTATTCATAAATACTTTTACATTTTTGATGATGGTTGTAATAGTTCACTACGTTTCAGCTCTATACAGTGGGACTGTCTTGACATCTGTATTGAAGATTCTGACTTTGATATTGGTTGAAAGTTGCTTTGAGTTCCATATGATCTTCATATGTAGGAATGTGGTTGTTACTTTGTCAATCCTCGCCTTTACGTCTGTATCGGATCCTCCTTGTTCATCGATGATGCTTCCCAGGTACGTGAAAAACTTCACCTCTTCCAGAGTTTCTCCATCACATGTGATTAGTTTGGTGTTCTCCGTGTTGTACTTGAGGATCTTACATTTTCCCTTGTGTATGTTGAGGCCCACTGACGCAGACGCTGATGCTACACTAGTTGCCTTCATCTACATTTATTCGTGTGTACGGGATAGAAGGGCCAGGTCATGTGCAAAGTACATATCTTCTAATTGGTTCCGAGTTGTCGATCGTATTCCGTGCTCCCACTCAGATGTCGAGGTCTTCATAATCCATTCAACCGTCAGAGGAAAGAGGTTGGGGGGAGTAGACTGCCTTGTCTGACTCTGGCCCTTACTTGAAATGCATCTGTCAGCTGACCCCATGCACAACTTTGCCATGCAGTCCGTCGTATGAATTCCGGATGATGTTGACGATCTTTGATGTCCGGTGGATTCGATGGAGGTAGTCTATTCTACAGTTCCTCGACGTATTCTACCCATATGTTCCTCCGTTTTTGAATCTCGGTGATTGGCCTGGCTTCTTTATCCTTGACTGGCCTCTCTGGTTTACTATATTTCCCTGCTAGTTTCTCCATTGTGTCATACAGTTGTCTCATATTTCCTTCTCTTGCAGCTTTTTCCGCTGTCACTGTTAGGTCTTCGATAGAGATCCATTCTTTGTGATGATGCTTCTTGCGGCCCAGCACCTCCTGACACGTTGAATTCGATGCTTCTTTGATCCCTTACCAGTTGTCCTTCATCGTAGTTTCTTTTTTTAGTGGATACCGTAAGTCTTCGAACCTGTTGTTAAGTTATCTTGAATTCGTTGAATTTGTTTGTATCTCGAAGGAAGGCTGTGTTGAACCTTTGTACTGCGGTTTCCCCAGCTATCCATCGTTTTTTAGCTTCATTTTCATCTCGGCAACCACCGGGTGGTGATCTGAAGCTATGACAGCTCCTCACCTGGTTCTTAGTTCTTACATTGTCCTTCTGAATTTTTTATTGATACAAATATGATCTACCTGTGGTGTGATCCAGTGAGACACATGTAGCTTTGTACATGCGTTTGTGTGGAAATATTGTGCCACCTATAACCAATTCGTTGAATTCACATAGGTATGCAAATCTCTCCTCATTTTCGTTTCTCTATCCGAGTCCATGTCGTCCCATGATATTATCATATTAGGTGTTGTCCATTCCGACTTTGGCGTTTAAGTCTCCCATCAGGATGGCGAAATCCTTTCTTCGGCACTTCTATGTGATTGATTGCAGCCTTTCATAGAACTGTTCTTTATTGTCGTCGTTGCTATCATTGGTGGGTGCATAACATTGAATAACATTCATCGTGATTCCCTCTTACTTTGTTTTAAAGGATGCTTTGATGATTCTGAGTCCATGAAATTCCTATCCTATAAGTGTTTAAGTGGTTCTTTGGACAGCATCAGAACAAGTCCCTGAGTGTGTTGAGCATTTTCTTCTTCGTGACCCGAGTACAGCAGCATCTCTCCCATATCTAGTCTTTGCTGTCCAGCTTGGATGTAATGGGTTTCTCTGAATCCGAGTACTGTCAAGTTGTATCTTTTCATTTCTGTTGCTATTTGACTGGTCCTTCCAGGTTCCATGTACCTATAAAAATTGTTGCTCCGGTTGTTAGAAGGGGAATCGGTCTCGTGACTTCCGAAGAATCCCGGCTTTGATCCTTCAACTCCCAGGACAGACTTTAAATGGTTTAATTTGTTTAATCTGGTTGGCAATTTTTAGCAAGGTTGTTTTCTACGGGTTGGGGTTGCCGACCCCATGTTCGACCCTCTTTGGGACCAACAGTACCTCTAGAAGAGCTACTTGCGGAGTTAACATGATCTATAAGAGCAGTCAAACTTATGGATAGACACTAATGTGGTTCAAAGGTGGAGCTTATCTTTCATCCATCTATGAATTTATGTTTTAATTTGTTGAAACTGTATTTTGTGCACAACTAGCAACATGAATTTCTCTGCTTATTTACATTTACTACACAGTAACATATCGTGTTTTGTTCGGATTAAGATAAAAATATTATAATGTGTCTAACAAAATTTGGTGAATTTCTTCAGTCGGTAGTCATTATGATTTCATTACATGATTCATGAATTTCCATTTATAATGAGAAGTTAACTATTCCTCTCATCTAAAATGAAATAGTGCTACTTCTTCACCATTGAATTTGGTCTCTGTCGACAAGATAACCAACTGAAAGCTTATGGTGCCGGTTTGCTCTCATCTGTTGCTGAACTACAGGTACGTAAAATTAAGTTTTTAGATTTATAGCTCACCATTGTTATTTTATTCAAGGACACATTGATGTTAGATGTGTTCTGTGTTTTCGAAGGATTAACCAATCAGTAATATTCAGAACTACTTAAATTTTATGTTGTGATGATACAGAAGTTGTTTATTGAAAACATTAGTCTGAGGATGACAGTATAAAACGAGACAGTACAAAATACGAATGAACTCTGATTCAGTCGCATAAGTAAACTGTCTTCTTGAGTCTTGTTGATATAAAATAACCATGTCAAATATCTAACTAAAACAAAAATTATAACACCATGAGTGATAGACAGGTAAATGTCCTAGACTTCTCTAGGAGGATGAAATTTTTAGCTTTTGTCTATCCCTTAGTTTTAAATAGTTTTTTGAGAAATCGGATTAGGGTTTGCAATCAGATACTCTCACGATCATACAATTATTTACTTTAGATGATTCTTACATATCTGACATTTTAACTTTTAGTGAAACCCCATAAAGAACGTAGTATTACCTACACTTTTTCCATTCCTTTACAACAGCATGCTTTAAGTGACAAAGCTGTGATTAAACCATTCATACCAATGAAGGTTATTAACGAAGAATGCCTTGTTACAACTTTTCAAAACGGATATTTCGAAACTTCTTCGTTTGAAGATGCAACACGTCAAATGAGGCAAGTTTTTACTGATTAAATTCAACATTTTTGAATTAAATGAAGATTTACTCACTAGACTGAAATTTCAAAAATTGAACTAAGAATGTGCAAACATTTTTCAATGCCATCTCGATGAATAATTAAGCTTACAATTCAATGGTCTGCAGATATAACGCAATATTTTCTTTGGCGTTAATTACTCACTAAAATCTAAATGTCACGTTTTCTTTAGTGACCATTGCATGGATAAAAACTAATTCACATATTTTAATAGCTACCGAGTGAAATTCGCGAACTCTTTATCGTTCACTATTCCAATTACCTTTGTTTGACAAAGGTAGTCTGTAGTGCATAATGAAAGCTGTAACACAATTTCAGTTGTGATTCCTATGAGTACGGAGATATTATCAAACTGAATGTACCTACTTACTTTTCTTCCTGTGCATCAAGTTTAAACCAGCTGTATTCTACAGTACGATCCAGATACTGGTGGATTATGTATAACCAAGATATTAAGCTTTATGTTGCTAAAACATCGTAAATCAGTAAACAAAATTACAAAATTAATTAACAATGAATTTCGCAGTCTATCCGCTGTATATTTACTTGATCAATCGCTTTGGAAAGAGAAAAGATAGAGCTTAGGAAACATTTCTCACAAATCGAGCAGATGAGATTTCAAAATTAAGTTCTCTGACAAGTTCATACTTTGGTATTCGCTGACAAAAGTTAAAGCACAAGTAATCTCTTCAACTCACCCTCGATCGTTTATTTTACTACAAAAGTAAAAAAAAAGTATTTCTTTAGAAGAGAGACAACAAGCTGCTTACTATATTGAAAACTGAAATAAAATTAAGAAGCCATTTTGACTTTTTATTCACAATTTTGTGGATTCATAAAACTCGTTTCAAGAAACGTTTCCTGGAAAGTGTTTTAAAGGAGCAACCAAAGATGATACTTCCGACAACATAATACTAATGTTTATGAAAATCACTCTTATTCGAAACTCGAAATAATGAAAAAAGTATGTTTTGATCCTTGTCGTACATTTGTCACAACAGTCAGTCAGGTACAACGTAGGACCAGGCACATATATGCATCGGTCCAAGTTGCCATACCTCATGAACACAACAAGATGGACACCGGATTCATAAAAGTAGTTAATTCAGAGGTGGTAATATATGAAAGAAAGAATACAATAAGGATATAGTCAGGAAGAAATAATTAGTTCGTAGAAAGAAAGATATGAAGTGATTTTAATCCCTAAGTTTAAGGTACGACAGAGTGTATACACTGACGCCATTGTGATCGATTCTGATCCATGTCACCCAGAGTCTCCAGCGATTGGTTACGATGGTCACGCGGACCCCAACAAAAATAACAGAAAGCAGAATTTTATTCCGTAATATATTTGAAGAAAACAGAATTCCCTAAAGGTAAGACTAAAGCTTGACTCTAGATGTCTGACTTGCAGGCGACGATTCGTAGTCGATGAGAGAGAAGAATCATAGACACCTTAGTTAATCTTTCGAAACAATCTGTACATATTTCACGATTTAATAATCTTTGGACAGTTTCTACCTGATGGAGTCTTATGATAGCCTCATTTATCACAGCTGAAACTTATACACTTTTAAAGAATGTTTACATTTTAAGATCAGAATCGGTTTAAATTACTATTTGTAACGAAGTTGTATTTTGATAATGATAAAAAACTATATTAGATGAAGCGATTCAACTCTCTGTAGTAATAAACATGATTCTCATTCATTAACTTTTTCAGAGAATTTGTACGCACTATTAAGCGACCATTCGATGTTCATTATAACCCTTACACACAAAGCATTGAAATAATAAAAACTCCCAAATCAGTGGCGAAGCTTGTTCAAGATTTACAATTTGAACTCACTGCAATCAACGAAAGCCTTCTTAAAGTAACGCTTCCTAATATGTATCATTTGTTGAACATCCATAAAATTGTTTACCTTTTTTCTGTGAAGTTTATTTTTTGAGTTATCGTAACGTGCCCGAAAAGTACAAACAGTACCTAAATTAATGTTGTAAGTAGATGTGACTTCTGTAAAATTTCATCTCTGTGGATTAACACATATATTGATAATGTATAGGTTTCTACGGAACTGTGGGCCATGAAGATTTATCAAACTTTACTCTGTGACAGAATTTATTGACTTCTGTGTCAAACTTGATAGAAAAATGAATGTTTATGACATAATAAAATAATTCAAACTTAGTCAAGGTGATAGATATTTTCCAGTTATAGGAAGTTGAAAATCAGCCTGAGTCAAGCGGTTATTTGTTTTATTTCCAGATTATTCATACTCAAGTTTCAATAGTGAAATCAAAAACTTCAACCTTTCTAGATATCATACCAACCTTGAAGATCTTAGTTTAGTCTCAGTAGCTAGTGTTGATAATCTTGATTATTTACTTACACTATTATGTAAATTATCAATATAGCAACAGTCTGGAGTGATGATAAAAGAGAAAATATTTTCCACAATGCCATATAAGCATTTGTAATGCATAGTACAAATGAAAAATGAAAGGTAAGAGGAACCATTCAGTGTGAACTGAGGTAACTTCATAATGAATGGAGCTATGATTAGCAAAACAAAAGACAGACGTTTATAAACTCATAGTTGACCATATAATATATGTAACTGAACACATAGACATTGCTCTAACTTGAGTGAAAATTACCCAAACATTGTTACTCTAAGCGATAAATACACACTAACATTTTCATGGTATCATACTAGGTGAACTGTATGCACCAAGTTTTGTTCCTACTGTCAGTGGGACGTAGTATAAGCTTTGATGTTGATACTCTACAACAGACAAAACAGTAGAACTTAATAAATACTAATAAATTTTAAACTATTTACGTTTTCAAATGATGATAAAATACGGATTATCTAATATTGAAAATCATACTGTTGTCTATATCCTTACTGGTGCAATGATTATTCACAATATTCAGTCACATCATATTTGTTTCCGCGACAAAGTATTGCTATTAGTGAATTTAATTTTGTGACGAAATTTAGTGTATTTGTGAATTCATTTATCTCCATTTTCCTTTTATCATTTTGTAATCAGATAAATAGAGAAGTTAAAAGTCAACAATTCACAACTAATAAAATCGTAACCGAGGACCGATCAAGCTAGTATGATTCTTGAAAGAACTTCATTATCAACTTAGTTATCAGACGAAATTACGTTTTTGCTCTATCATCAACATATTTATTAATCATTTTTACTTCTGTAAGTGCTTTATCATGTATTCATTTATTGTTCCGCCTTGAATTCTCTAACTATTCGTCGTGTTTCATCCATATAATATGCAACGATTAATGTTCTCTGCACGCTTGGTAGTATCAATAATATATTTGATGAAGTCCAGCTTTTGTTCTGATATACGTTATCGAACTGATAATTAACAGTTTAAATTACCAACTGAGGTACCAATTGAGGTACTAAGGATTGATTTTCAGAACAAAAAAAGTTCATTAATGAAAAAACCTTAGTTCGTATATCACGTGACTAGATTAATCAAACTGATGTCCGTTATGTTTCTCTGAAGTCAGTATACCCTCACAGATTAGTAATATCTATCTATCCCATGCGTCTATCGGGTCAATCACTGCTTGATTGCCCAAGTTAAAAACATCAATCTGCCATAATCAATTAGGTTGCTTCACAGGCAATTATTTGCACTGAATAATTGTTAAACCAGGTTTTCGTTTAAAGCGTCTAGTTTCCTATACCAAAATAACATTGTTCATGTACTGGATATCTTGTAGATATTGAGTGTCCTTCGTACGGTAGATGATCTTGCAGAGGTTATCTGAGAATCTACTGGGTCTGTTTATTTATGTACTGGTTTCCTCAATGGTTTGAATCATGCTTTAGAAAACCATGCTCATTCACTGCAATTTCGGAAAGATTGATATTTATGCATGATGGAGGGAAGTATTTTGTTAATAATGTCCGTGCGGATGATACCTCCAGACAGAAGCTGATACCAGTCCCACAAAACTGTTGGTAATCAATATACTCACTCTTCTAAATGTCAGTCGCGTTGAGATTGAAAAAAACAGCTCATAAGGTCATTAAAAAACCGTAAATCTGTGTCGGTATGTGATTGATAAGTAAATTGTAAATGATATATTTTTATGATGGTCTAATGGTTATCAGAAGCATACTTCGTAGGGACAGTTTACATATATCTAAGTGCTCACTTAATCTGTTAAATCACACAAATAATTCCCACAAATTACTGAACGGAAACCTAGGTTTTTTAATCCTTATTGCGAGATAATTATTGTGAATAATTAGCTGATCTTGAACACAGACATACACTTAAGTTTCTTCCTATCGTCGTGTTTACGCAATAAGATTTTCTAATCAAATGCGTCTGTATTCCATTTTATTAAAATGTGAATTTCAAACAATGAACACGCTTCTCTATTGATAATAAAACGCGTCAAGCAGAAAAAGTATTTTATAAACAGTTGAATAATGATAATTGACGTAAGCGGCGTTTGTGTACTAATTAATAAAAACAGATACATATACGTTTGTACGTTCAGTCTGACGATTTTAAATTAGAATTAGAAACAGAGGTTGCATAGAATTTATCCGAATTATTTTTCTCTTCTGATGTAAATGATTGCGATATAGATGACATTGAGCCTTCTGGTTTCTGATATGTGATTGGATGTAGTTTATTGAAATTCGACACAAACATGCGTGCCAGTGGTGAAGGTCCTTTAGTTAATTTTGATATTGCCACAGTTCCCGATAGACTGGAATTGTTGTCTCTGTGTTCAACCTTCTCAAACGGATTTTTTTTAACATTAAACGACTAGAAAATTTGAATTGTCAAAAATAAATGGAAAAATGTTTAAATAACAAATGATCACATGGTATTTTTATGAGATCAATGACAAAGTCATTAGAAATATGAATTGTTGTTAACTCCGGAAAAGTCGAATTCGCAACTGTATACGCTTCATTCATCTATGGTTCTTATTGTGAGCCACCATTCAAAGCAAAAATTAATTATACATAGGACTGAATCGGAAAAACAAGCTAGGTTTAGTGCTGAATATCAGTAGTTGGAAATAATAATATAGGAAAGGAAATTACATTAATTAGGTTTGATATGAATTAATCAATGGGAAGCTTAAGTGACTGCAAAAAAAGGTCCGCATATTTTAAATTCATTCTGTAATTATGGCTTATTTACAAATGACGTATGTTGACAATAATTTGAACGTTATTTATAAGAATGTAAATCCTACCGGTTTCTTTGACTGACCACCATTTTAGTTTTTAGTATGCAGGATTCATGTGAACACAATTTTGTGATACAACTTCGAATCCGTTAGCTAAGAATAGAAACAAAGATGAAAAACATAGCCTCCTAGGCAGTCATCCATATGTTTCACACTTATGGAAATGATGAGCGGCAAACTTAGTAATAATCTTTATTATTTTCTTAAACATATGATGAAGAGTCTACTTTCAACTATTACTGATGAATGCTATAATTTCTCAAATCCGGTAATAAATTTCTATTATTATTACCCTAGTCACGTTATCTCCAACGTCTATTTTGAACAGCTAGTATATAATCTATTAAAATAGATGTTTGTTTCATTTTGAAATCAAATCAAATATTTTGTTTCAGAACAGATAAATACAAGAAGAAAAGTTGAGCGAAGAAATATTTCTTTACAATTAGTTCTTCATCAATGGTCTACATTAATATATATATGTTTTATAAGTGAGTAGAAAGTCGGCATATTGGCATCCCTTGCGGATTGCCTTAAGTCACAAGCTTTATAAGTATTTTTTGTTGTTTGTGAAATTGATGATAAATAATTAGTAGGGCGGGTTCAGTGAAAACTAGATAACATAATTAGTAGACAGGTCAGGTAATACTAGGATTAGAAATTAAAATGTTATGAAATCGAAGTTCGGAAGTTTTTTTTAAAAAAGGGAAAGAAATGTCTCGAAATACGTAATGGCTTCTTCTATATGTAAGAGTCGGATCTTAGAACCACGGGGTAAATTCGGTGAGATTTCATAAACAACTTCAAACGCAGAAGTTTTATTCATGTGGTGACCAGTATCGACTGGATGCGCCAAGATAGAGCTCCTTATTACTTTCTTTTGTCATTTGGTCAACCACAAAGAGTGACGTTCAGAAATAGGATGATTCATTTGTCAAGTTATGTCTATGATGATCCCACAGCGACACAGTCATATTGTCTGTGAAGTTCTTTATTAAACAAAAAATATACATTCATAATACATCTGAGTATTAACTCTTTCAAAAAGAGGAGACCGGGATGCTAATTTCCACCTCTCGATTTTGTAACTCACTACATATGAAATTAACTGTTTTTATAAGAGGCACGTTTGTAAATACAGAGAATGCATCAAGTGATATCATGAATTTCTGAGCGAAGTGGTAAGTCAGTTTTATGTACTTTTGGTAGGCCGTGAAGTTTAGGTGTCACTGTACCTGTGGTCTTAAGTGCTTTGTTTAAGTTTTGGGCGACCATACCAGTTTGTTTCAGACCATTTAATGAATAAGTCAACTGTCGTTCAGTCTTTTCTGTGGGATCGTTCTTAGAAGATAATTTCTGAAATTTGCTATGATCACTGAATATTTTATTCATCTTTTTCATGTGAACTATTTTATCTATCAGAACTGTTCCTGATCATTTATCAGGTCTGGTGAGCACTAGGTTTTTAATAGTTCTTAGTTTATGTAGAGAACCTTTGTGCCTTTTGGTTTAATAATTGACTGACTATGAAAATTCACTTTTCTTCTAATCTTAATTTTCTAGACGTTATGTAACTGTCTGATTGTCATTTTGTTAGACCGACTCACCACCATTTAGTTTGTATCGACTTTCTACTCACTTATAAAACATATATATATTAATGTAGACCATTGATGAAGAACTAATTGTAAAGCAATATTTCTTCGCTCAACTTTTCTTCTTGTATTTATCTGTTCTGAAACAAAATATTTGATTTGATTTCAAAATGAAACAAACATCTATTTTAATAGATTATATACTAGCTGTTCAAAATTTATTACCGGACTTGAGAAATTTTAGCATTCATCAGTAATAGTTGAAAGAAGACTCTTCGTTATACTCAAAGCAATTGATGGTAAAGCGAACTTATTGCCCTTTCTACTGATAACTTTAATTAACATGCGTCTTTTTGGTGGTCGCCCTTATTAGCGTCCGCACTTTTGAATAGGTAGCTCCCAGTATATGGCCACACCAGGAATCTTTTATAAAAAAGGGGGACTGTGAAAACAATAAATAAGGAACAACAAACTATGAAGGCTACTTTTTAGGACATTAATGATTAATTCTTGATCTGTAATTAGTGAATTCCATATTTCTTTAATCATAAGCTTTCGTTTAATTTACCATTATTATATTCTCTATTTCACATTTATTGAGATTTAAGCGTGATTGTATCCTATTTTTGTGTGTTGAATTACCTAATTTGGGATAGACTGCATTTTCAGATTTATTGTGTGTTGCGATCCAGGTGTTTAGTCGAACATTGATTGATGAGAATATAAAAAACCATCAACTGATGTGGTTAAGGAATGCGTTGCTCAAGTTTATTTACCGCCTACGAAGATATAAGATGCTGGTTGATGTAAGAGTAGGTTGGAAAATAAGTAAGCATAAATAGGTTGAGATATAACACCAACTCAGTCAGTTAGTGAAGAGCAATGTAGAGCCTGGCATAAATGTGGGGTAACCAAAAATCTCACACCACATCATGACGACGAGTTGAGATTAAGATGAATGGCAGAGGAGTAGAAATAATCATAATAGCAATGACAGTGGAAAAGACTAAACACTGTTCGAAAATGTGGAATGAAAAGGTAGAAAGGAATATTAAAACTCCTGACCTACAGGAAGAGAAAGTGTATGTATATCTGCTACACTATGGCCGATTCTAAGCCACGTCACTCGACGTCTTCAACTACTGATCATGATAATAGTGTGGACCCCGAACAGGTAGTTTGAATTTATCAACATAGTGAAGACTAGTGGTTGATAAATTCATGGGATAATGTCACTTGGTTTTATTTCCTCAATTTTTATTCAAACCTACTGCTTCTGCCTCACTAAACATTGCATGTTGAAGTAGATAGTGATCAGGTGCACTCAATACATGTTAGTCACTTTAGTAGACGGAAATTCACTATGCCATCAGATGATCCATGTTTACTGGTTTGGCCCCATCTGATACCTATGGATGTTAGGTTGAAATAGAGCAGTTGTATGGATTCTCCTTCTCTTTTTAAATCGTCAGGCATTATTAATAGCTCTTCGATCTCATTTCTTTTGTCTAAAAATTATCTCTCATGTTTAGGGTTCTATTTCAGCATAAATCAGTTCCATCTACTTGCTATCTTGCTGATTTCCTTTCACTGTGTGAAAATGTGGACCAATACACATTCATGACTGTTTCTTTGCTGATGAGCACTAGTCGATAACCAAACAAACCCAGAAATAACACCTTCCGGATTCTGACTAGCAAAAATAATCTCGAAGTATTCAATAATAAAATAAATGTACTTACTTGGTGAACAGATATTTCAACCGAAGAACTATTTTTCTCATATAACGAATGGACCACAGTTGGTGTTCTATTAACAAAACGGGCACTACCATTCGCTGTTTGAGGAATCGAATAATCTTTATCACATTGGAGTTTGCTTTTCGACATATTCATTTCCATGAATTCAGGTTGTAATTCCACATCTTTCTTATGACCATTTGAGACCGAAGGAGATAATGAAAACTGTTTTGATACTTCATCATGTTTTTCAGTTATAGTACGGGTATTATCATTTTCTTTTGAATCATCAACACTAATATGCAGCTGTCTTTCTAATTCAATGAATAAGCCCTCTTTATCAAAACCACGGTAGCTATCCAAACTCAATTTTTTATTTTGGAATTCCAGATCAATACTACAGGCTAACTTTATTTGATGTAATAGGTCACGTGAATTCAGTTGTGAACATGCCAAAGAATTATTTTTCTTATCAGATACTAATGGATTGATCTGAACAAATTGAATATCATTATATTGGTTAAGTTCTGGTAAATTAGTAGGTTCTTTATATTTAGGACTGTCACTACACAACTGCAAGTAGAATGAAACAATAAGGTTTTACATAAGTTTCCAGAAAATGCTATTATTACAATGAAATTATTCCTCTTTCCTAGAGCATTTCATCTCCAAATAATTAACCTTAAACGGATTCATAAGGTGGATTGATAGCTCATCAAAAGATAGGTAATCAGATTTAAGTCGATAAATCACAACGTCTGGGACAAACCTTCTGTTTTACCAGGAAATCCCAGATTACAGTGAATATTAAATTTCTATGTTTCAATTCTAATCCGAGTCACTATTGTGAAAGGTAAACAAATGAAAATGTTTAAAGAAATATCGTTTGTTAGATATGTCGTTAGAATTGCAAATCTCACATACGTCTCAAACTAAATATATGTCTAGATTAAGTCGATTCGTAACACCAAAGAACATTTATTAATCACCACAAAGTACCCGTACTAATAATATCATACATATGACCGACTTTGAAATGGATTTCTCAGTTTCAGCGCGACAACAATTGACCAGCAAAGTTAGTTTCAAACCACTTAACATTATAAACTGACTGAAATAGAAAACTGTGGATTATGTTTCAAATCGGAGGTTGAATGATATTGACCTTGCTGTGAGTCTTGTGCTCTATCTCTTATGGATTCTGGGGTATGGACTCCTGTGGCGATCTAAACTAGAATAAAACATCTGTTCAATGATCTCTTCCAAAATAAATGACCTATATCAATTAGTGACGAAAACCATCTTCGAAATCAGACGGATGCTGCCACAAAACACTTAAAAGTAAATATGATAAAAAGCAGAAATAGATTCTTGAATCGTATCCGCGCTACTGAGTAAATTCATATAGACTATTTCAGGTGTTTACTCAACTGTTGGGTTTAACATAGGTGGAAACAATCTAAAATGATTGCATCGCAATGTTAACCATAAACGGAAATAATGCTTTTATAAAGAACAGGTTCACTGAGTCTTGATTTACTAGAAAAAACAGTCAGTCAGCTACAACGTAGGACCAGGCACATATGTGCATCGGTCCAGGTTGCCATACCGCATCAGCACAACAAGATGAACACCAGATTCATAGCAGTGGTTAGGTCAAAGGTGGTAATATATAAGAGAAAGATTGCAATAAGGATATAGTACACAAAGAAAGAATTAGTTCTTAGAAAGAAAGATATGAGGCGATTTTAATGTCTTAGTTTAAGAGAAGATAGAGAGTGTATACACCTACGCCATTGTGATCGATTCTGAGCCATGTCACTAAGAGTCTCCAACCATTGGTTACGATAGTCACGCGGACCCCAACCAAGTAGTCTGCATCTACCAATATGGCTCAGACTAGAAGTTAGTGACTTCAAGCACTGATGCCACGTTTTGGTTTGGCCGCCCCTAACTTTCTTCCAACCAACCCCTACACCGGTTAGCATTGCACGTCGTGGTAATCGGTGTTCAGGCATACGTAACACGTGGCCCAACCATCTCAGTCGATGAAGATTCATAACCTCATCAACTGATTTACCATCATTCCCTAATACCCTGCGTCTAACCTCACTATTACTTACCCGGTGATCCCAGCAATATTTCTAAGGCATCTGTGGTCAAATACTTGTAGCTTACGGGTGTCTTCTACTCTTAAAGGCCATGTTTCGCTGCCGTAAAGTAAGACAGAACGGACTGCCGCGCAGTATACTCGTCCTTTTATTGATAGACGGATATCTCGCCTCCGCCAAAGGTGACGTAAGTTGGCAAAAGCCAAGCGAGCTTTTCGAATCTGTGCTGGGCTGATCAGACTTCCTAGGTAAGTGAAGTTGTCAACGCGTTCGACTACTTCACACCCTATCCTTAGTTCAGGTGTTGACGCAGACCAGTCCTGAAGCAACAACTTGCATTTAGAGGGAGAGAAGCGCATTTCAAACATTCTGGCATTGTTGCTTGGTGCATGGTTCCGGGAGACCAGGAATAATATTTTGTGAACTCAAATCATTAGCATTGGTGGCGCGTTGTAATAAAGTTTTGAGGGAAGGGTTAGTCTTGGGTGCAGGAGAATTATCAGTAGGCGAGGAAGGGATTTGATTATGGACAAAATTATATTTGGTACTGTTAGAGGCGTTAAAGCAGTTCCCACTTTCCAGCTGCCCACACTGTGAGAGGACATTTCTCTCTGAGGGACCGAAGAAAGAAGCTGGGGTTAGTGGTGGAACGTGACTGAAGATTCAAAGGTAGAACTGACTCAGGTCAGTCACGCACTACCTTTACGTGGAAAGTTTTTGATGCGTTAGCTTCCCACTTCAAAAAGCTTTACTCATGGAAATGGTAATCTGTGTGGTAAGGTGAGGTGTGAAATTCTCATGGTCGACCTCTTATAACCACTTCCATCCGTTGTGAGAGGGCACCATCTCTGCAGATGATAGTTGTCCAAGAGAAACACCTAACTGCTATCACAACCCCCTGCAGTCACCAGTACGAATTCACCCTTCTGGCCGTAAGTTGCGGCTTTAAGTCTTACCGGTCTCCAATCGACCTGCCTGGCACGTTAGGACCTAAAGGAACATATGTCTCAGTCAATAAAGCTCGGTTGAGCAATCACGATAGGCAAGCTCGAACACCACGTCAAGGTAGCAGCTACGGTCAGGTTGGATCAGTGTTTCGTATAGCAGCTACACCACGTATCCAATGACAGAGATAAGGCTAGTCCTATTGAATAGGCCTTTTATCAAACCTCGTTTATATTGTACTTATGGTGACATACATTCAGTGATTTTTGTAACAACAAAATAAAGACCACATTTTTTTCCTAACTTGTCACACCTCATTTGTAGCCACATTTTTACTCAATATCTGTTGTTTTGCTGTATCACTTGTTAAAAAGACGACGATAATTGTTTCTAGGATTGATATGCGATCCTACTACCGCGTTGTTTAAAATATAGAACACTATCTGCGCCGTCTGTTCTTCTGTTTTATTGGCCACCGTTTTGATTGGAGACTATAATAGTATTATAACATCATTATAGGCCTTCCGACTCAACGTTGGACTTTTGGCGTGCATTACTATTGTATAATACTATTGGACTCCGTCTTCCTCATTACGTCATTGGTGCAGTCACTTGCAGAGGAGCACCTGTCAATCAAGTGAACTCAGTTGGTGGTCGTTGTTCTCACGAGGCAGTTCACAAGTAACATTCATTCTATAGTAACTGTTAGTGTCAGTTTGTTTAATATACCTTTTGTATTGCTAACAGTATTTTGTTACCTTTGGTTTTACTAACGGACAGACATCTAGGTTTCTTTACTATTATTTTTTTTTGGTACATCACTATTAACCTAGTGTATCAATATATTTTGTGTAAGCTCCTTTTGTTTGGGATCCACCACAAATTTGGTGAGCCCGTAGATAGTGTTCTGTATTTTAAACAACGCGGTTGTAGAATAGTATATCATTCCTCGAAACAATTATCATCGTCTTTTTAACAAGTGATACAGCAAAACAACAGATATTGAGTAAAAATGTGGCTACAAATGAGGTGTGACAAGTTAGGAAAAAAATGTGGTCTTTATTTTGTTGTTACAAAAATCACTGAATATATGTCACCATATACTAAACAAGGGCTATGGTGATTAATATATTGTTCCATCCATAAAGGCTTTCAATATATAGATCATTTGAACCATCTTATGAAATAACAAGTATATTTAAGCAAGAAAACTGGCTGTCGCCCTCTTTGCATGAAAGACTAATGTGACTTTTTATTGTTGAGTTTCCCTAATAAACAATTACTACCAATTTTTTTGCAAACTACTACAACGTTATCGATTTACCGCTCTTATTAAGTTTTACTTTTCCTAGTAATTCTTCTGAGAAATCTTTAACATATGGCATAAAGAGATTAGCAAGTAGTGGTCCAAAAGGTCGAGTTATAGTGACATTACCAATCTGTCGATAGTATTCAACTTCAACTAATAAATCTTTGGGGATTGTTACAGAATAAGGAATGGAAAATTACTCAATTAGATACTGGTCATATAGGATATTAACGCTCTTTCTCAGTGGTACACTTTTAAAAACACGTTCAAATAGGAAGGATGCTTTGTCTTTTCCTTGATATTAATGTCACATAATTAATAGATCAACTGAAATAAATCCCTCAGAGAGTGCCTACATAAATGCTATTGAATAGGATTGAGAAGCTCCGTTAAACATTTTGTGATATTATGTATAGGTGACCAACACACTGATAAAATTGAATGTAAAGACATGTCGATTTTGTGAATTTCAGGTAATGCATTTAATTGCTGTTAAAAACTGACTTATTTATTCTTGCATCCGTTTTATAGTCGATCACTTTGAAAATATTTTTAGGTTCTACCGTCGAAGTGAATTTAAGAGTCGAGTGATAGAATGGTTTATTTCTTTTGATACTGAGTAATTAAACAACTCGAAAATTTAAGTCATAAAGGAAGTCAAAACTCGAGATTTAGCTTTTCATTCTACATATGATTTTTATTAATATCGTTTTAAATTCAGCTTGCATAATTCAATTGAGATATCTTTAATTATTCATAAAAAGATCTAAAAATTTAGTTATAAATTGGGTAATCACTTGCGAATTATTTACAAATCGAAAGATCTGTGTTAATATTTACCATAACTCAGTTATATCTCTTGCTTACTTAACTTTCTAATAGTTTTCAAAATGGGTTGTGATTAGAAAGTGTTACTTACTAGCAGATCTTAGAATGGTGGATAGTTTTTACTCAGATTTATTACTGATTTTCACTAATCATACTAGATTGATGGAGAACGCTTAATCGTGTACTAGTAGAGAGCTCGGATAGTTTGCTTGAACTAACGGCATCTTTTTGTCAAAAACCCTAACTTTTTATTCTTGCCAGACTAGTTTATTGGAGAAATTCGAGTGATAACACTAAGATGGTTTAGAAATTATGGAATGATCTCAATCAAAAACCTAATAATCTCCACAACCCCTATACTAGTAATCAACATGTGCTCACTAGTGACTAGCTTCGTGAGGGAATTATCGGAGTTCTGTTGAGAAGCCGTGATCAGTGGAGCTAATCCATGTTGGGTAGAGACAGGTATCTACCTCAGTACAATGGAAGTTGGTCGCGCAATTTCGTGGATTGGTTGATGTTAGACACTATCGCCATTGGATGCAAGTTAGTGACCAACTTCGATTCATGTTCTTTAATAGTGTAAAACGTTAACATACCATCATATCATACAGGGAAGTTTGTGAGTACTAATATACAGACCTTGAACTATGACACTTAAACAGAATTCTATTGATCTATCTTAAGCAGATATAATTCAAGAATGATGAATCAAGTTAAAAATCCTGCAAATTATCGGAACACTATCTACTTTACTAACTTTAATATTAAATAGATTTGTTTTCCGAAAACAATATATGCACGTTTTTCAGGAATATATCTGCTTAAACGAGGGTTTAAGTCTCGAGAAGCTAAAGTACAAGTAGCCATATCACAAGGGTAGAGCAATGGTTTGAGTATTCTCATGACTTAAGACTGATTTATATTGTTTACATTTTTCTGCCGAGTACAGATCTGTGAAACTGTTGTGTTACACTTAACGGATCAACCTTGGCAATAGAAAACTAAATATATCAAAAGATTCCGTAAATGATGAAGAGAACAAAGATTACTACCAAAGACTGGTATAAATATACAGTAATAAGGCATGCCTTAAGCTAAACATCAGCATTCTCTGTGTTGACTGAATCTCATGAACTTCTACCGTATTGTGTATTTTCCTAATACCGTAAAAAATCATTTTTTATTAGTTAGTTACATTATGGATAGCTTAAGGAGAAGGATTTTAAATAGCGAATATTTACGATGATGCAATTGCTTATTGATGTAAATTAGTATTATAACGTATGAACTTTACCTTAAAATTTAATTTCGGAACTGAACTATATTTTGTACATTGTAAACGAATAATCAACTGAGTAGTAACAAATTTTAGGAGAAACTTACGTTATTTTCAAAAATGTTGGACACCGTACATGTATTTTCGGTTTTTAATGTTAATTGTTGGTTGATTAATTCATTTGAATTTTCACCTAAATCGTCTAGACTACCTGCTGTGAACGTATTGTTGATGTGTTGATTAGACAGTTTTCTCAAACGTTCTCTCTCCTCTCTAGCTAATCGAACTCTTTCTTTTCTAGCTGCACGTTCTTCTGTTTGTTGTCTTATTTGTCTATCTACATCAGCACCAACCCGTGATTGAATATTTATCAAATCTGACTGAATATAAGCAAGAAGCCATTTCAAACCTTCACGAATCGCTTTATCCAACTTTTGATTAGGTAGTAATAAAGCACAACAATGCTCCTAAAAGTAAAAACATTCAAGTTAAGCAATCCAGTTCATCATGTGAGAGTGAATATCAAAAAGCGTTACGTGTATGGAAAGTTCTACACTCTGGTGTCCATACAGAGATCTGCCTGTCTGTACATTGAATATAAATTATGGTCCCCTATTGCTGATCATTAACAACTTAGGTTTTATACCTATAGAAAGACAAAGACAAATTAATTTTCTGGGGTTTCATGTTTATATTTCTGACGAGGTCCGTCGAACAATGTCAACCTGTTGAATATATAAAGAAACTTGATGAGGTTCGGAGTTCAAAGGGCTTTTCTATGTTTATTTTATTGAGATTACGAACTGATCTAAGTTAGGGAGTCATTGAACACCTGGAAGTATTGAAAGCCCTCTTCGTTCTGTTATGAGACTCCCCAAAAGTGTGGGACCACAACCACGCGACCAGGAATGAAACTCAGGAACCTAGGTTTAGCGCGTGGACGCTTAACGTTATCAGCAGATTTATAGGGAACAATGGAACGAGCGTCATGTAAAAAAAGAGTTTACCATATCACATTCAATATGAGCCATTAGGAGGCACTTGCGTTTATTAGGGCCATATGTATGTATGTACATATATTCCGATTGTTAGAGTGACTGGCAACATTCTTTCTGGCCAAAGTTACCAAGTAGTTGTAACGGGGTAAGCATAAAGGAGAGGTAAACCTTTGGAATAGTCCTACCTGAAGTTTATATATTTGTTGCACAATTACTAAACACTTGAATTGTTCCTTGTTTATGTTTTTCTACTTGTAGGCCTTCGTTAGCCCAAGAATTACTATTGGATGTCCAAACTTTCTTAAGTTACTGCTAATTCATCACCAATCTATTACCCAGATCTCGTCCACTTGTCGTGTAGTTAGGCCTGTATTGCAATTCCTTAATTACGTTGAACGTGGTCACGATTTTTTTGTGGTTGTATGAGTCATAAATTTGAACTATGTGTTTAGAAGTTATCTACATGATATATTGTGTTCTATCCTGGCTATTGGACAAGAGAGTATGGGAGAACTGCGTTCTGAACCAATAGTCGTTAAGTACTGACCTCAGCTATCGAGCTATCATCGTTTCATGGGTTAGCAGGTCTTTGGTACTACGTAAGCAATCTAGGAGGAATAAACAATGGTCGGATTAGGTTATACAACTGCTCTCTTTTAATGACTGGGCGACCACACGAGTCCCAACATAACATCAAGCCTGGTTTTTCCATGAAGTCAGAAGTAAAATAGAAATAAGATTTACATGTACATAAAATGATCAAATGTAAACCAGTCGATTATAGCTTACCAAGCGACAAGGGCATTTATATTCATTGACAAGATCATCCAGCTGGAGTGCTGCTATCAGCTCCGACTCATCTAACGCACCTTTAATATCTCGCTTGTTTGCTAGTCTAAAGTGATAAGCACAACCCGTTACCTTGTGTAACCATCTCACAACTTACAAAAGAATTGGTTTACCGGATATACAAGGATGGGAAAGAACATTGACTAATGCTTCGTGACATTCTTCTAATCTCTCTGGCGTACTTGAATCAACCACGAATATAACACCATAGACTTCAGCAAAATATGTTTCCCAAATATCACGTATTGTACGACCACCACCCAAATCATAAAGGTTGATATTAAAGCTGTCGATAGCAAATTCAATACGATCAAAGCCGATAGTTGGAGCAACTAAGTCACTGGAGACTTAGGTATGAATGTAAATAAAATTTTTGGAAACGTGATCAAAACATACCACCCTTTATGCTGAGAGATATTGTTGTCTTTCCAGAATTATCCAATCCCAGGATGGCAAGAAATATTTCTCTATATTCAGAATTAAAAAAATCGAACTATTATCAAAGCTCTAATGGATTATAGTATGAAATATCTTGGTAAATGGGATGTTACTAGTATCTAGCCATCACCCACTATGATACTACTAGGTATGTATTAGTAAACAATTTACTGACTGGTGAACTACGAATAAAATATGTAGACATACATACTGACAAGAATGCATGAATCTGGAAGGGGTACAATATATAGATAAATTACGCCTACAAAAACAAGCAGTGTTATTAACACTATTAATAACGACAAATTTAATGGTCAGACTTATGGTGACAAAAATAGATTGAAGAGTTGTAATAGGAATTATTACAGCACTGTCATTTCTTGTTAGCTGCAAAATTTTTGAAGGCTGTGATTTAAAAATAAACATAAAACCGAAGTTGGATACTTTATTTGGTTAAATTTATATAAGAAGCCTTATAATTATAGGAAATCGATTGTCTCCATGTTATACATTAGTCATATTAATCTCAAAAGTGTTTCAGGTTTTGTGGTTACTAACAGATTCTTCTCTACCTAGTTATTATTAATACCTTCAGTGTTTATCCTTGGAACACGCACCGACGTTGTTGTTTAATAAAAAAATTGAATACAAGCAAGGTTCACTACTAACAAATATATATAACCATATATGACATTTAACATAGGCTGTAATTATGTTTTTTGTATATAGGTTATTCTTTTTTGCTATATAAAACGATTCATCTTTGCTGGATAGTCATTTGTAAGTGGTCTTCCCGAGACCACATTAACTTAATCGATCGATCGCAATCCACATTATTATTTTTCTGTGATAACAATATCTTAGCATATACATACTTGTAGAAAGACACCGCACCAGAAGAGAGCAGATTATGAATAAAACTGACCAGAAGTGAGCTAATCTGAATGCATATTTGTATTTTAGGAAATAACGTTCAAAACAGAACTCATTCAGCTGTCTAAATAACTTGGAAGACTTGGCTGCGCGAATTTCCCAGCACTGTGAATAAAAATGACGATCAAAATAGCCGTACGCTACAACTCACAGAACGACTGCAGTCATTCCATACACATAACGTTACTAATGTTCATGATTGAGTTGGTAATTACTGTTTTCATCAGTAAACGATGAATGTCAAAATCTAAATTATCTATATTTCAGAATTCTGGATGTCTACCTCGCTTAATGCACTATCTGTGCTCATGAAGCTTATTGATAAGCATGTCTTTTCATTTCCGGTGTAAATTTGATGGAAATCAATTTGTATTGTTACACGTATTAATAAAAAAAGACCCTAACTACATATAAAGTGACAATTCTTTGAGTTAATAAAGAGCGTTGCTTGATTGATAAATGGCAAACATCACTGGTGCGGGAAGTCCATTCTTCTAGAAAGCCTTATAACTATACTTTGAATTGTTTTTTCTATTTCAAAAAGGGATTTATTACAGAATGAAATGAATAACAATTGGTTGCTTCTATAAATCTATATTAACTAAGAATGGTATCATTCTCAAAACATGGCAAGAGTTTTGTTTTGTTACTTACTCTTCAAATCCATATAAACCAATAAGTTTAACTATGTAAAACATTAACAAAAATGAGAGCTTCTCAATTAAGCCAATGGAGCATCAAACCATTGATTCATCTTGGTGAACTGTAAGAACACCATTTTAAGCTAACACGTTTTATTGTTTCAAAATACAACATTCTTAGAAAGTGAAGAAATGATTTATCTTTCAGTGGTGAGTATATTTCAAAGGGTAAGATTTTTAATGAGGTTAAACTTGAAGCTTGATAGACTTTATGATTGATGTGATAGATCTACAATATTGTAGAATATAGGATTACTATTCAGTACGACTGATATTTATTGAAAACATGTTAAAGGTGAGAAAGAAACAACCATCTTGAGTTACACCCATCAAATTTTACTCATGATTAAATGAATAGTGAAAAGTCTAATTGTTCGCACAGTATATTTACGATGCCAAGAGAATTTAGTGTTAATCACCGACTCGTTTTAAATCGGAAGGTCATTATTATATCTTCGAATTGCTACAGGCTTCAGGAATCGTTATAAGATAAAAAATAGTTTATAGATACACTGTATATTAAAAGTAATGAATGAACAATTCATTCTTAAATCCCTAAGTGTGTTGACATTCTAAAGTAACTAAATGTACCGCCATGTGCAGCTGAGGGGAAAGAAGCGAAATACAGTGGATTTACCATATTTTGCAAGCGAACTCATCTTGATTTGTTTAAGAAACAGGTTATTTTTCTTCTGCTGTGATGAAACCTTAAAACGTAGAGTAGGATTTATGGGTAAGGTCAATTGTTATTTGACTGAAAGTGTTGAGACAAACTGAAAAACTACAGCACTATGTTAGGGGGAATTAATCGTAAAAAATTATTATTCAAGCACAACGTTTGAATAAATCACGTTTCTAATTTTTAGTCACAAAGCTGAAAAACACTTCCAACAATTTTAAAAAGCTGGTTATCTCAACTTTTAAAGCTTTGCATATTTTATCCGAAGCATTTATTAGACCACAAACACCCTGTAAATGCGGAGGGTGCTTTTATGAAAGGAAGTATCAAACTAACATATAACCTGAAGTATCAGTTAGTCGGTTATACGCAGCATAGACTTCGGCACGAAATGTGCATCAGTTCAAGTTGGCATACCGAATAACCACAGAGAGATGACACTATCAGGGAAAATCCCGGAATGGTAGATGCAGAAACAGTATCAGCAATGGAATAAATTAGGCATGGGCAATGCGACTAAGAAAGAAAAAATAAATTATAGGGATTCGAAACAGTACAGAAATATTCTAAAACTCAAGATCTAAGAGAAAACAAAGAGCAAATGCGACTATACCATCGCAACTGATTATGAGCCATGTTATACAACGTCCTTTGGAAATAACTCGGTGAAACATTCAGAAGCCATACATACATGTGCTTGACAAGGTATTACAAACTCCACCTAACTTGACATTTTAAGGAAAACTTTGATATAAGCAACTGATGTGGGGATAATTATTCGATGTGCGATGTCGTTTGTGTACCCAAACACGTAAAACAAGTGAATCACTAGGACTACGTTGGTTTTTTTTAGTTAGGCTTGATTATAAACTGATGAACAAACAACTGACATTTTCCTTCATGCCCATTGTTAAGGAAATCACCACTAGACTCATGTGTGTTGGAAAACAGAAGCACGGAGAGATTTAAAGCCGAAAACTAAGTGTACTTTAATGTAAAGGGGTGAAAACGCATATCTCTGAGGTTTCTCCATAAAAGTGTATATTATAATTTCTCCTATATTCATTAGTCGTATAGTCAGCCAAAAATAAATACCACGTAAAACACCTAAAGATCAAGTATACCATTTAGTCAGTTGAAGATTTTAAACTAAATTACTGTTGTTAACCACCTATTCAAATATTAGTGTACCGAACTTTTTAACTATAGGAATCCTCAAAAGAAACAAGACATACTTATTGATTTATTTATTTCGATAATCCAGGTTTAAAATACTTTAACGCCACATATACGAATATTGGCCGCACAGAATTGGTACTTTTCAATGTCGTTCTGCAAACCACTATCGACAAGAAATATCTTCTTGCATTTACGCGATCACTAATCTTTGTTATGTCAGTAACCTGATAATTGAATAGGGTATATAACCTGTAATCTAACTCTAGGTTTTTATGTTATCAGTCAGTCAGTAACAACGTAGAACTTCGTACGTACGTCAGTTCGAGTTGCCATACTACATTAGCACAGAGATGCAGTTATCCATTCAAATCCCGTAGTGGCAGAGGTGGTTTTTAAGTTATACGGAAAAACAGCTTAAAAACTTCTCAGATGATTTTGACCGATCTGACAGACATAACACCAGGGAAAGACCTCCATTAGAAACATGGAAAAGAATAACCATCTATCCACAAAAATAAATAAGCTAGTGAATTTAGGGTAAAAATTTCATCAACCAATGTGTACTAGAGACCCTGTTTGTGAAATCAAGTAAAGAACAGTTGATAAAACGCTAATATCTGATCATAATCAATAAAATTTACTTTGTAGCAGAAACGCTGTATTTTTTATTTATTTGAAGCATACTAAATAACTGATTTCAACCAGTTCACATATTTTCATGTCTTGTGGTAATTTTAAGATCTGAGGAGCGATATAAAACGATGAGCAATTTATGAGGCAGAGTAATCGCATCGCCATGTTATGGCAACCTTATGTATGGCCATCAAAAACCTATGCCTTTAAAAGTGTCACAGTACACATCTGAAATACATGATTAATATAATTTTTATCCCAAGATACTACAGTATGCGCATTTGTAGGTTCCCCCCGAGCTCTTGAAGTTCAAAAAACCGTAGGTCAGTTTGTGAAGAATGCCTTCAAATTTATGTCCCCAATTACAATGACTACATGTCGTGAGTTCTAGATACATGCTCGCCTGAGGCGGTTATGGGTAAGAATTAAATTGGATAGATGATTGCTGCATAAGGTTTGACGAGTGATGATATATCTGCTTGTGTATTTCCTTTGACCTCTAAAGTGATAGAATACTTGTGTAATATCATGGGAGAGGCTTTCTATTCCTTATATCTGCCCATCAAATGGCGACCGGAACCTTGCACAATAGTAACACAAAGTACTGTAAACTCAGGTTTAATAAGACTCCTGTCAATATACTAAGTTTATTAGCACTATATTTTGTACTAAATCGTTGTAAATAGACATAAAGGTTTAAAATCTAGAAGATGCAACCAGCTCCACAAATAAACTTCTGAGATACCTATTACATATTAGGACACATCTATACGGAGATTTTGAAGTTTTATTAGTATGATTATAGAATTCAAAATTAGCATGAAGTGAAGAATTAAGACAGCTTCAAACACCAGTGAAAAAACTTTATTTTGAAAAATGATAGTATAAAATACAGCAATTTAAAATTACATTAATTTCGCTCAACAGTGACTATTGTGAGAGGTATGCTTTTTAGCAAAATGTAAAGTCACATAGAATGTGTGGTAAACATTTATTCACTTCTATCAACAGATCAGCCTTTCAGAAATAAAAATAAATAGTTGTAATCCATTGAAGACATAAAGTGTAGAACGTATCAATCAATTTTATCCATATCTCGACTACTAAAAATGATATTAAAACGAATACACATCCCAGTATATTAAAAAATCACTTACTTGTTATTATTTTGTTTACGCCTAACAAACGTAAAACACGGAGACATGTTTATACATCCCACACAACGGATACAAAGGCACTTTGAGTGATTCAAATTAGTTGCATTATTAATAATTTTAGCAGATGCCGAGTAGTGTGAATGACAAGCATTCGGTCAGGAACTAAAGAAGGACATATTACGGCCAGAATTGGAAGGCCTAAAGAGGGAAAAAGCAGATAATGTATCCTGGCAAGATTATCTATCTAGCGTAATATGCAAACAAATCAGATAAATGAGACCGAGTGTTACAAAGTAGTCGCACGTTGTTATTTACGAAAAATGTCAAGGTAACATACAATAAAACAAACTACTTTCTGTGCACTCTATGATAGTGTAAGTTTCAACTTAAAATGATCAATACTGAAATATACAAAGAAGGTTTTAATTATAATAACAATTTTCTTCTGTTCGAGGCAATAAAATTTCAGGTACAATTACGCAAAATATAATCGTAATTTGACACGGCAGAATCTTTTTCGTTAAGGTTCAGCTGCACTGAAAAGTTACGAGTCTTCAACTTTTTAAACCTAAAAATGAATCAATTCGGATTCTTCACCTGCGTTTAAAATGTCAAGTTGAATGATTGATTAGTCTAGATCTTTTATGTTCAGCGGTTTGCGTATATTTCAAGCATGCTTGCCGTCGTATGTGACAGATTTAGTGCTTTGTTTCGAGCCCTTCTCTTCGCTTTGAAAATTCTTGGATGAATATTCTGTTTATTCAATCCAATATCGCGAAGTTTCTAACAACTGAAAGTTTAATGTCAGATAAATGTTTTCGTCACTGGAAGTCGGGTGGATAAAAGCAGAGTTCACTGTAAGACAACTAACTGATCGCTGTAAAGGACAATATCTGGTGAGACCTAAGTGATGTCTTCTCGAGTCAGGTTGGAATACTTCCTATGTCAGCTTCACTACATCAGAATAGTCATCGCAACCGCACTGGAAAAAGATAGGGAATGCCGTGCCAAACATCTCCTACGACCACCAGCCTTCGTAACATGAGTACTTTGGGCCTGTTTGGCTATCTGTTTGCTCAATACATGACTCACTGAAGTTCCAAGGACTGGTAAATATTATGTCTGTTCATATTTCACATGCAGCAATACACAATTGTCTTTATTATTATTTTGATTACAATTGATCTAATGTGTTTCTTCTTGATCCCTGTGTCATGGATTTACACATTCGGTAGTGCGTATGTGTGGCTATACTTTTTTCGACACACTGGTTAGTGTGATGACTAACTAAATAATAAAAGTTTCAGATCAAGGGTTGTGTTTCCTCACTTTGTCGCTGTGTTTTGTTTTCATATATTTTGAATTTAGTCTCTACTCAAAAGCGACAAAATTCACTCACAGCATTTATGTTTTCCGTCCATTTGCAGCACACAGGTATGATGAAATTAGTGTGATTAAACGCCCTTAGTATTGGCTACTCGGTAGTATGTGTGGGATTTTCTCTAAAACGGTACCTGGATATCAGCTATCGAGATGTAGGTACTTTTCAAGTTTTATATAGGATGTTTAGTTTAAAAGAATGAATGTTAGAAGGCAAAATTACCTGCATTTTCGAATTCTTTATGAAGCTCTCCCACTGTCGTCGGTAAACGACAACGCTTGTAAGTTTCTGTTACATTTAAACATACTTGAATCAGACGTTCAACATAGTCTTGATTATTTTCAAAAGGATTCCCTAGAAGTTCATGAAGTTGCAATGTCTGATGATGTGAGTTCTTATCTCATTTTTTAAACCTCATTACTCATCTACCTTTAATATCGTAGTACATTTTTAAATATACAGATTATATACAGCTATATATTTCAATGGTTTGTCAACCTCTAATTGATCATGATGCTCTACGGATAAGCAAGACTTACATCATTTAAATATTTACGTGAATAAGTATTCTGCTTATGACAAGATAAAATGACTAGAGGTCTTAAGTGATCAGCTCCACCTACCAACGAAATTTAAAATCTATAGCCCACTTTATGCAGTGAGGATTATTTGTTCCTAATAAGTCAATGTTAACTGTCTTAAAGAGAGGGTCCCTAACCATAATAACTCATTATTAGTTGACGTTTGGTAGGTAAACAAAATTCTATCATTTTTCAATCTTACAAAAAGGGGAGTAAACTCCCTCATGATAACAATACAGGGTCAGCTTAGTTTATTTGTTGTCTAACATATTAGCATTGATAACCATTCGATGCCTAAATGGAGATCTGCGGCAGCAAACCCGAGAAAACAAATCAAGTTCAAATTCGGTCTTAACTATGTAGTTTCAGTCACTTGTTAAGTGTGACGCTTTAGCCAATACGTCAACTACCATGTTACAGTGACAAAATTCTGATTTACGCCTCATAGAGGATTCATTTTAGGAGGTTTAAACCTTCCGGTATTGTTTGGATCTACAGTCATTGACTTCTCAAAGAAGTGCTATTTTCTGGTTTGTTCATTGTTTACCTTTTTTTCAACATGATCTAATTCTATTTGAGCGTATAATTTATAGTGTGCCTAGACATTTGCTGTGTATACCAACGATCTTCTCTTCAAAATCGTCTGTTTGTTACCAATCAGAACACTAAAAAGTCATCCAAGTACCTGATGTTTTTTTCTTTTACTTTTATTTTAGACTGATAACTCGTGATTAACGACGTAGAATTTAAGCCCACAACACTGACTAACGAACCTCAATAGGTATACAATACGGATAGTTGTCACAAAAAGTTGAGTCATAGGTACATAGTCCACTAACTGTTATTTCCGAACTGTTGAAGGCAACTCAACAGCTTATCGGTAAGATCATAGCTCTCAATCGGAAAAATATTCAAATACTACGAACTCTTTCCTTAGTTAAGAAACAGGATATACACAAACTGATCCCGCCAAAAACAGTTTCCATAGTTTCACATTTTTGCTCCTTCTCCCATCAATAACATGTTTTTGAAAAATTGATATTGTTTACACTATGATCTTTGTGTGGGTGTTTAACTTCTGTTCTTTCTCCGTGTGACTACAAGTCACTTAATTCAAAAGAATGGTAAAATATCGCCTAAGCCATTGTAGCTTACTACCAAACTATTCCTTGAACAGGCTGTAGATTCTTTTCATAATGATGCAAATAACATCCTTGCATGACTCGAACAATAGTCTCCCCTTATTACCCCAGTCTGAAGTTTGCTGACATGCTATTGGGCATTGTTACCAGGTCCTGCATTGTTCACAAACGAATGACAATGCTTCTACCACTCATTATGTGAAAACTCCCATTGTTACGTTGACCCCCCAAAGACATCTTGGTCATTAGACATGGGACCACAATATTAGCACCAACTACCTTCAAAATCTGGAAAGATGTGCACCTTGATTGCCTTACTTTGTTCTCTCTCCCTTAGCCTAATAAGATCGACTAGTAACCACTTGATGATATCCGCAAATTTTTATTGTCAGTCCTTGCGACTAATTTCATCGCAGACTAAGTTTGGAGCTAGGCTATATCAGTTTGAGTCTCACTGTCACATTCTCGTAATTGTTGAGTTTATTTTCCGCACACTTTGCAACTTGAGTGAGTCTTTTATCAACGGGTATTGTTCTCATTCATCCTTAGAGTTTCATACGATCACAGTTCAAGGTCTCATTCTAAGAAGAGATGCTCAAACGTTCTTCCATTTTACCCATAGTTACATAATTTGAGTTTCAAAATTATTTCATACTTTTGATTCCACAAACTAACGGTTTCTTTTTGAAAAATGATCCCCTATGTCTAGTATATTTTCACTTCAACTGATATTACTACTACTACTACTACTACCACTACTACTACTACTACTACTATTACCATTACTGCCGCAACTACTTCAACCACTTTTATATTCATCCTGGTAACTTCCTCCGACTATACTGACGTGGTACGGGAAAGTGGGCCGACGCAAATGCATACCCGGTTCTACGTTGCTGATGACTAGCTGAATGATAACCTACGTGACAATTGTAATAAAGTCAGTGCCTGGTAGGAGAAGTGTTCTGACTTTTGTCTAAACCTAATACCAGCCGCGCGATGTTCGTTTTTGGGAGAATTTCAAGAAAGCATCACCATTGAGATAATCAATAAAATTTGTAGCTCAGACGGACTCTATTAGTGACTATGAGTTTTCCGACCCAAATGGCTTAGTTGCAGAGCATCCATTGTCATTCTAAACAATGTCTTCAGCTCCTACATGAAGTATACTTGATTGACATTGTCAAAATGTCACTCGCATTCTAATACAAACCTTAGCATTTTTGTTTGAATACTGAAGTATTCTGTTACATAACTACACATTGAAGCTTCAATATTTGAAGTAGCTTCGAAGATCTTTGGTAGGATTTCTCCACTATGTCGTTGGCGCGGCAGTTATTAAGTGCGTATACAAGTCGCTAAACTCGATAGTCAAGGCTTAAATTCACTAGATGATTTGAGAAACTGCAGTGATCACGTTCGCATGACATAATTTGTAGTCATTTTTTATTTCGCGTTAGATATTTTTGTATTCATCTATCAGTAGAAGGATGAGCTTTGCTGGACACTCGTGTAGCATTTTAGCATCCAACGAATTTCGTTGTGAGCTGTCATCTCTCAACCACTTCTCATTGATATATTCGATTGATTAGATTTCCAATTGTCAGACTTTATTTTTAATGCTAATCGTCGTGTTTTTCCTTTTCCGGAATGTCTTGTTTTTTGTTTACTAGTTCTCATCAGATTTTTATAGTCGATCGGTATTCATACCTTTTCGCTTTGGTCAATTATGTTTTGGTCGTTTAGTTCGTTGGTTTTTCGGCTATCTCAGATCTGTTGATAAACAATACTTGGATTTTGATAGGTATGCTTTACCTGTTTTATCACATTGGTATTTTAAAATCCCATATTATAAGCTATATGCTCTGCTTGAATTAAGGAATGTATTTCAACTGGTGTATCTTAAATTGTTTATAAAATATTCGTGGAACAATAACGCATATTATTCTTTGGACCTAACATTTTGAAATTCCATCAGACAAATTGAGCCGTTCATTTTTCTGTCGAGCACATATAACAACTGTTGAGAGTGAATGGATTTCGGCCCAGTGGTCTAGAAGTTAAGTGTTCGCGTGTGAGACCGAAGGCTCTGGGTTCGAATCTCGTGAGCGGGACCGTGGATGCGCACTGCTGGGGAGTCCCACAATATGAAGATGCAGCCGCTCAGTGCTTCCACGTTTTCAATGGTGGTCTGACATCGAGCGGTTCATGATCTCAATGGTTTCCATAAAGTTTGGCCCATACACCCCAAATGTCTCTTCTTAATTTCTTCTTCAACTGGTTGCCGATGGGTTCTGTAATAGAGTAGGTTATTACTGATGGTGTTTGATCAACGCATCTAGAGTATCTTGTGTATACAACTGTTTATAAATATATGTACTTTTTTTATGATGGTTATAGTAGTTCTCAAAATTTCAGCTCCGTACAATAGTACTGCCTTGATTTTCTTATTGAAGATTCTGACAGTTTTTTGAGTTGCAGATGTTCTTCAATCTTATGAATGTTGGTCTTGCTTTGTCAGTCCGTGCCTCAACGCCTGCATCACATCCCGCTTGCTTATCAGTGATACTGCTGAGGTTCGTAAAAGTTTCCACCTCCAGAGCTTCCCCATGAAGTTTAACTTGGTTGGTCTTCGCTTTATATTTTAGGATATTACTTTTTCTCATGTGAATGTTGAGGCCTGCTGCTGTGGAGACTGACACTACTTTGACTGTCTTCACCTGTATTTGTTGCTGTGAATGGGATAGAGAAGCTAGGTCATCTGTGAAGTCCAAATAGTCTATCTGCATCCAAGCTATCCACTGTATTCTGTGCTTCCCCTCAGATATGGAGGTCTTCATGATCAACTTAACCACCAGAAGAAAGAGAAAGGGGGATAGTGAGCAGCTTTGTCTGTCATTGGTCTTCACTTGGAATACATTTTTGAACCGCACTCAATGCATAAAGTTGCAGTGCAGTCTGTTGTAAGAATTCCGTACGATTGTGACAATCTTCTCAGATAGATCATAGTGTCGAGGAACGTCCCATGAGGTCCTCCTATCCACTCTGTCGAATGCTTTTCCATATTTAAGTAAGTTGGTGCGTAGTGATGAGTTTCATTCGATTGATTGTGTCGCCATTTGGCCGGTGCATAGTCGATCCTTACAAAATCCAGCATGTTTGTCTAGAAGTTGAACATGTACTGAATCCTTCATTCGGTTTAACAACACCGTTTTTGGAAAGCATCACCACTAAGATAACGAGTAAATTTTGTACCCAGATGAACGCTATTAGTGACTCTGAGTTTTCCGACCCAAATGGCTTAGTTGCACAGCATCCATTGTCATTCTGAACAATGTCTCCAGCACCTACATGAAGTATACTTGACTAACCTTGTCAATTTACAATGAATGTATCGTTCTATCTCCAGCCCAAATGTGTTCACTAGAAACTCCAAACATAATGCTGATTGTTACGATACGACGAGTCAGAATAGATAGTGATGTTACTTCTGTGTTAGATCTTATATTTTAGGTTTTTAAATCACGACAAATCTACGATATTTGGATTAGGCCTATTATTCCATTAGTACTTAATACGAACTAGACCATGAGTCTACATCGGTGAGACCGACTAAAGAAACACAGCCTCCTATTAACCCTCATTTTCACTCCAACTTTGTCGATCGATTTTTACTTATGTTTGCTCATTGTTCTATCGGTCCTTTGATTGAGGCCCACATGTATTGTCGTAATGTAATATTGATTAGTAAACATATATTACTAACTCAATCAATATTAACAACTGGTTATCTATGTTTGTTATTAGCTACGATGATTCAGTAACAAGCCTTAATAGCATTTACATGCTTCGATGAAATTAACTTGTTAAAATATCAAGCACTAGCGAATATAGCCTTTCATTGTGTCGCCTGAACATGACCGGTTATTACAAGAAAGCTTAAGTAAGGATTACTGAATTGCTTAACAAAATTTGCCAACACTATCCACACTCGAGCTATTTGACTCCAGTTTTCGAACTCTGAGGATATTACTTCAGATGACTGGTCGGCGATAGAAGGAAAACAGTGGACATATTAATACCAAAGTTGGGGTTCAGAATACAGTAACCAGTAATAAATCACCGAGTAAGGTGCAATCGGACACTGGAAATAGGTTGAGACACCTTAGAGTGTTCTAATCAGGAAGGTGAAAGAAACTCTCCATCTTATTATTCCTCAGAATTTGAATCCGTAGAGGATAATAAACCCTCGCAACTAATAGTGGTGAAACTTTGACACTGATGCTGATCTTATTAGGTTTTAATGGACAGTTACACGACAGTCAAACTTTGAGAGCGCCCGAATTGTAATCCGGTCAAAATGCAAAAAAAGCACTCGAATAATGGCATTGATACGATAATTTATCTAAAATCAGACTATCCCAAGGAGATTTTATTAATGAGGGTAATGAGATCTTTGTAGGAGACATATTATTTTCTTTGAACACACATTGACCCTCATTACGCATAAACTATGACATTGATATCATTGAGCCATGAGTCTAAGGAAGTTATGTCACGTTCTTTAGACAAAGTAGATGGAAAGTCAACTTCATCTCCAATCTACACAAGTGCTCACAACCGTTAATCATGGTATTCCATAAAGAAAAATCTACAGCCTCTTTATTCAGAAATGTTTTACTCTAACGTCAAAATGTACACAGACAATGAGGTTTAAGCCTTGGACGTTGTCGATACGTAGTGATTCTCTCGAAAATGTGACATCTATGTGGTAAAAACTGCACAAAACCTTGATTATTACCAGAAGATGGCAAAAATGTACTCAGGGTCGTCGCAGATTCCTGAAACAACATAGAGTACAACGAAACAAATCAAGAATGCTAGGCAGCAACAATTTAAGCTATGATTGACAAAACATGCTCTGGATCTACAAGAACTAAATCAACTCACGATAAAATTGCAAATTATTTTCATTTTGAGAGTATATTAAATGTCCAGAAAATTCTCATTCAGTCTTGTGGTAAACAAACAAAAAAATGTACAGTAGCTAAAAGTTTGAGGATGGTTTCAATATTATCCCTAAGTTAATTGAACCAGGAATCTATAATGATAGAACATGAAAGTTTGCTTGAATTACAGGTCGATGTATCGTAGTGTATGGATTCTGAGCTGACTAGATATCATAGGAGATATGCTGCACAGTGTATTCAAAAGTGATTTAGAGAGGATACTTGACCTACCGCCTTTAGTTAAATGTGTCCGGTAAAACTAATATGAACAGAGTAAACATCGAAGGCTTATTAAGCTTCTTGTTTTTGGGATCAATTTACCATCACAGTCTGTCAACTAGAGCGTACAGTCCATACTTTTCTATCATTAATAAAATAACACTGACCCCGTAATCACTTGTACATTCGTATAATAATATTATGAAAACTCCCTTCTTAATAAGTTAACTGGGTACTATGTTCATTCAGGCTAAACTTTAGTTCATTAAATGTCTTTACACGAACGTATATCAAATGTTGAAGGTTTTTAGTTCAACAGAATTGGAAGGTGACATTATTGGAACTCTTTAAGCAGGATGTTGAGATGATAATGATAGGGAGGAGTTAGTAATTTGACTTTAAAACCTGTACTAACCCTGTTCAATTTTTATGAAATATTGGTTATGAGAGTTAAGTCAGCTTTCATGTTATGACAATTACAAAATAAGTGTATGACAGGAGACTCCTTCGTAATTCAGATTATTTATCTCGAAGGTTTATGTGCACAACTTCAGACACTTGAAGCATACATGACCGGAGTCATGTTAATGGGGTCAGATTTAAACAACACTAACGGTAAATAATTAGGTTAGCACTGAAAAAAAGAGGGATCCGTATTGTGATTGAAAACAGACAATAAGAAGCATTACTTCCAGATTTAGTGCTAGTCGACACTTTTCGGTGTGGCGTATCAGTAGATTCGACTTTTCTGTGTCAGAACGTTTAGGGGTTTTGCCCGATCGTTTACAATTGCCTAGTATCAAAATAAAGTTATCGAATCCAAAGAGTCAGCTCTAAACAAAAACATAACATTGCTTACTAAATAGATATTTAGGCTGAGAAGGCTTATCAAAAGCGTTCCGATGGTATGCCGATAATTGTTGATTTCAAGAAGGTAGAAATGCCTCACGAAAAACCGAAAGTATCGGGACACATTGTCACTAGAAAATCTGTATGCAGGCAAGATGGTAATTCAGAGAACTGTGGGCAAATGTAATACACGAAAACGCATGAAATTAGTGTGATATATCTAGGTCCAAATTTAGTGAAAATGATTGTTTAATTTTAGTTTAAGTTTTGTTGCATTCGTTATTCAACACTGATAGTGATCATATACCATTTCTAAAGTTGAAGCTGTTACAGATCGACTTAACTCGGAATCTCATGGCAAAGCAACATAAAAATCATATTCGTCTCAAACATACACTACTTAACTTAGAAGACTCAATATTCTGAATCAAACTGTTATATTTACGCAAAATTCTTAGTATTTGGATAGAGTTCAGGAAAACATCCAATTAAGATGGTAGATAAAAGCTATAAAAATAGACAGCCGTTGCAAAACTACGAACACCAACAACTAGGGGAAATGTAAAATACTGTAAACTTCCACTAACGTTTGATCGAAAGCCGTATTCTAATGAGCACAGTCAAGTTAGGAAAATAAAAGTTACCATAAATCAATGTAATTATCATAAAGTAAGTTTTGGAAGGTAATCAAATTCAAGAACTTACTTCTTGTGAACTCACAACAAATCTGACACTGATAGGTCTAATGAGAACTGGGGAATGAATAATGGAAAAATTATCTCTGAAGGACCCGTTAGTCTTTGGTATTATCGGTAAGGGAAATTCTAAAAAGGTACAAAGGTGTGATCAAGATTAGCGACGTTCGGACCGTCAGGACACCTGAGGTACATTTGTTGCTTAAGTCACTAACGTAAATGATTATCGGCAACAATTGATGCTACAATACAAATGTCAACGAACGAGCTTAGTGGTCCAGTAGTGAAATCATTTTTCTGGTTTATTACTTCAGACCTATTCTGTTGTTCACGTAACTGATCTAATCCGTTGCGTAGTCATTTCCCTGTTTTTGTTTTCTCTCTTGTGTAGAGCTGCATACGCCCGTGAGAGGATGATGCTGAAGGGAGTTAATTGGAAACTTAGTTAGGAATACAGTCATTACTATTTATTATTAAAAAGGAGGTCATTTTTCTTGGCTTATCAACATTTAGGCCACTGTTGTGACATACAGGTTAGGCATAATGGTAAAATCTGATTGGTGGTTATAGATATTTATATGATGCACTAACATTGTGAATATGGGTTCAATCAATACTTGTATTGAACAAAGTTTAACATATGCATATGAATTTGGTGGGTAACTGCCCTATATATATATATATATATATATATATATATATATATATATATATATATATATATACATGAAGCATATAACGCGAACAACTTGAGACATTTGCCAACTTTAGGGGAATTTACTAACTGTATAACAGGTATCAGAAGAATAACCAATAAAAAAGCAAGCAATAATGAAACCTCTCTCTTTTAATACAACGCTATTTTCATGAAAAAAGTAATATATATCTCACAGGTACATGTATCTTTATTTAAAGTTAGGAAAAACACTCATAAATTCGTGTATAATTGTAACGACAGTGAATGTATTAAATTACTTTACGTCAGCAGATAGTTATTGCTGCTATTTTCGGTGATGCTGTTGATGTACAATTGGGCAGCTACTATTGACTGATGTAATAACAGATGATTCTTTATAATTTTTAAGTGTCTGTACGTCTGCATGCATCGCACAGCTCATATTTGAAGATGACGACGAAGACGACGAGGAGGAACATATTCGAGAAGTTAACAAACAAGATGAAGATAAGTTGGTGTAGAAAGTTGTAGTAATAGGTTTTGTGAAGATTAGATTCTGTTTGTCTTTATAATGATAAGTTGCATGAGCATAAATTTCAGGGTAACTTGCAAAGTCTGTGAATGAAGTTATGGATGGGATGGCTGGTGCACAAAATCTAGAAGTCTGTAAAAAAGTATTATTAATACAACTATAATCATGATTTACTGAAGCAGAGTGGATAAGTACGTTACCGCGTGTATTTGTCGAGGTATTAGTAAACAATTGACCTATATTGCATGTTGGCAACAGAGATGACATCTAGAAATAATAAGAATCAATTTTATGGAAGTATTTCTCTCATCAATAATATGATCACAATATAGAAAATTAATTACTGGTTCATTGACTTCAAATAAATAACTCTTTTAGCATAAGAATACTATAAAACCTGATGTCAGTGTTAAAAAATACAGAAAAAAGCTGTTTGTTGATTAATTTTACTATGGACATAAATTATTATGCGTGTTGTAACCAAAAATACTTAAGGACTCAAATTAAGATTACACCTATAGTTACCTATCTTAGTGAGTCTCTGATACTGGCTGAGGTGATCTCGACAATTAATAAATGACATATATAGTAAGAGGATAATGTAATATTCCTGAAGGATGCTACCATAAAATTACACAGGAGGAAGCTGTGTAGTTTTAAATTGTAAACCGCAATGTGTAAATATGAAATGTAATTAAATATGCACACATTTATGAACTAGGATGTCAGTAACAACTGTTTTTTTGATGGATAACAAATAAAATGTTGCGACTAATCCCAAAGATTGTACGAACAGTAATCTTGAGGGTATAAATCAAGCTTTACGTGATCGTAACAGAATAGGACTGAGATATATTGACTAGTCCAGTATTTGTAAAATATTAGCATTTGCAAAAAACGCATGGGTCCATTATGCGATTAAAATAAATTTGAATTAAGAAACTATCTTGGAATATTTCTGATATGGCGAGTAATAGCTCAATAAACTGGAGTGGGAATGATATATGAAACTGGGTTTTTTTCCAATCGTGTGTTATATGGATTTAACATTTTAAGAAGGATTACAGATACTTAATTGCATAATATGATATGATATATATGAATTATTATCGTTATATACAACGCAGTTTATTGTATACAACTCTGTCTGTTAATCTAACTGCAAATAAACCATATAAAATGTAGTGGCGAGACTATAATTTATGGACGAACCAATCAGATATAAGATAACGAGTCACAAATTTTGGCGCGAAATTCCTCCATACATTTTGCTAAATAGAGTTTTGGCATTATAGCTAATTTCAGTTCGTGATGAAAACCCTAAATCTAGTTTTTAACCCTAACCATCAACTGTAGATGAGAATTCTGACTGCTTTATAACCCTCACTTTTTCTTTATCAGTAGGTGTCCGCTCTCAAGGCCACTTTAGCGTCGCTCTAAGGTCGGCCATAAATTATAGTCCCACCAATGTAGTGTATTTCCAAATCACTTTGATTTATTTTGTGAGTGAAAGAAGTCCTTATCATCGGCCTTCGTACCTTTTCTCGCATATTCAAGCTGTCGTGTAGATTTAGCCTGGGGTTATTAGAAGCAGCTAGGAAACCGGATCGAGCATTTATTTAGCAAGACTTATCAATTTTCACTGTTGCACAATATGTTCTAAATCTCAGACATACACCATAAACTAATGACTAATCACAGATGTGCCAAAAACTGAGTTTGGGCACGTGGTAGCTCAAAAACAGATAAAGCTCTGAAATAAAAATACCTAATTGGTAGAAAACATAAGCACTAAAATAATATGCATCAAGTGGTTTTTGTTCGTATGATAAAATGTATGGAAGAAATTCGTTTGACTTACATCCTGTTGCTTATTAGATGTGAACTGTTTTTCACCTAAACAAAATTTTGTAGGATCACCAACCGAATCACTTGATGACTCTGTCAATGCTGCTGTTGTTGCAAAATACCCGGCATGACTGACAGGATCACATCGACTAGTACTTTTCGGTAAACACTCAAGTTGTTCTATTTTCATCGTAAGTTCTAAGATTTGTAAATCACGTTGTTTAAGGGTTTCTGAATAAAAATTTTTTACCAAAAAAAGATGATGATACAAGGCAATATAAAATACCATATCAATATTATGTCAAAAATTCTTGGGACAAAGTCAAACTAGAAGCATCAAGCAAATGATTGGACAGTCAAGATTGCATATATTGTGAAAACGATTGACTAGAAGCATATGAGAAACATGCTAGTTATTATACTGAATTCAAACAGTGACTGGAGCATGATAGAGCTTTGAGAAAAACCGATAGGACCCTAAATTAGTGGCTATTGATCTGGTTAGTGCACGGATTTCCAGGATGAAATAGTAATGTCCAAAACGAACTGCAGTCATGTAAATGAAGAAAGTGAACGTAGTGTCATTAAAATGTCTTAGGTTTTCTTGGTTTGTATTACTTCCGCTGACTTGCCTTCGCAATGGTGTTGATAAATGATGTATCTTGAAATGATGCATTACAGTATCTGGTTTTAAGTAAAACCTTGTTTATAATAATTTAAAACCAATATCTTAGACAATTTACTTTTAAATTTTAGGGAAATATTTAGTTCCGTATACTCTAATCCATTTGGTATAAAAAGTATGAGGTAGTGAACATAAGACTCATCTATAAAATAACAGGATGTATTATAGAAGATTTTATGATAATATACGTATGATCATCGAAGACATGTCGGTGTACTTAGTAGATAAACTTGATAATAAGTACAAAGAAATGAAACTAAATGAGCGATTATTAATCTGACTTACTCTAATAATTATTGATTCATCTAGCCAAAATAAATAGGCTAACCTGTGACCAAACATAGAAACGAGTGATTCGGATTAGACGATCAATTAAACTTTATATTGACTACATATAAGTTAAAATATGATTAAGTGCTACACAAGCTATAACTTTGAACTCCATTATCCGGCAAAAATTCATTTACTTAAACTATGTCTTACATATGAGTTGGTATTGTAGTCTCAGAGCTAGATAATTTAGTTGTGAAGTTTTCATTGTTCTTCTGAACAACGTCATCGGTACGTTGTTCAAAGAGTGAGCCATTAAGATTTATCCACATTTGAAAGCTTGTACCGTTGACCTAAGATTTAGTTGGTTGTCATCTATAACTGTGTTGCTGGCGTATTTGTCTTGGCTGTTCTTCTCTTTTGGCTTTGCGGTTGTTAGTCCTTTAACTTATTGCCCGATAGATTTGGTCGATTTCAATTTGTCTTTTGATTGGTGCCGGATCAGTGTATCAGATTTCTCTGGCTTTGTGTCTTTTTCTTAATATTTCGACGTTTCTCTGGTCGAGATCATGTCCAGAATTATACATTCGTATCGATATGATTGCGAGTATACCTTATTATTTAACTGATGTCTACCCTGGGACTTGAACCCAGTACCGTCCACTACATACCAACGCCATCGTTTTGCCCACTTAGTGATTCAACTGATTGAAGGATTCAAAGAACCAATAAAAATTCACCCCATTGCACAAGCTACTCCAACTAAGCTTCAATCAACAGACATATTGAAATCGACCAAATCTATCAGGCAATAAGTTAAAGGACTAACAACCGCAAAGCCAAAAGAGAAGAACAGCCAAGACAAATACGCCAGCAACACAGTTATAGATGACAACCAACTAAATCTTAGGTCAACGGTACAAGCTTTCAAATGTGGATAAATCTTAATGGCTCACTCTTTGAACAACGTACCGATGACATTGTTCAGAAGAACAATGAAAACTTCACACCTAAATTATCTAGCTCTGAGACCACATCTCTAACATCCTTAGTCTAAGCCACAAATATTCTCTACCATAAAAGCAAGTGCATCGGACAATCTAACCTGTTAATTTATCGCACAATATGTGAATACTCGGATAACAGTAATTTAAAAGCATCAAGGTAATATGAGTGCACGAAAGATTTCCTATAGCTATGCTAGTTACGGCCCTTGAGGGCCTGAACTACATTAGTTGCATTAACTGATACGTCTCAGCTTAATCTTACCGTCTTTCATACATTAGACTTTCAAATCAATTTCTCTGTTTGAAATTCAGATTTAGTAATCCTTTTCATTGTTTTATGTGAAATATTCTAAGATGAGCCTTAAATTCCTTTTTGATAGACATATTACGAAAACCCAGTAAAAAATCACGTGTGTACTTATTGAGAGCCCAGGTGAATTTTAGCTGTCGATGTAATAATCTTGGTGGAAAAGTTCACTAGAGATTACAATGAACAGTAATCTTGGAGAAAAACCACTTTAAAAGTCCAGAATAGACTATTATGAATTCACTTGGACAATTATTTCCCTGTGTAAATAACTAAGATATCGTTTTTAATGGAGGTATGTAAAATTATTTATTCAGTGGTTATGACTGGAATTAGTTCTTCCGTTACCTTCATATCATAATGTTTTCCAAGAATTAAACCAGAATCGTAATCAGCTTTTTACAAAAATATAAAACTATTTCAGTGCAATTGGTTTCCCTTATGAATTTGAATAAGCTCAAAACAAAAATTGAGTCATAATGATTTCAATTCATCTTATTTTTGGGGTTTCTCAACAGCTCCTTACAATCGTATTCGCATCAAAGTGTAACATTGAGATATGATATAATGTAGAGTAACCAACATTGATGATGGAAAGAATAAGAATAACAGAAATTACCAACAACATATATAAAAAATGTAAGGTCATTTATAGATGGAATTCAGAAATACAAAGGATTACGGCAGTAATTATGTGGATTCTGGAGACTGATAAGATGGGCTGTGATAATTATAGAGGATTTGAACAGTTCCACATCACAAATATATATAACAGAGTAATGAGAAGTTGAGAATAGTTAAATGGGTTACGTAATAACTATACAAGATTTGAAGAGCATGCTCTAAAGAATTTGAGACTGGGAGGTGCAACAGCTCTACGCAGTGCAAAAGATCGGTATTTTATTGGTAGCGGGCATATTAACGACACTCCCGAGTCCTTCAAAATAATCAGCAGACAAAAAGTACAACTTCTCTTCAGTTTTCCAAAGCAGTAATAATCAGAAAATTCACATCAAGATTAATGTGTCCAGAAAGAGACAATAGTAAATTTATTATTCCGCTGAAACCATCCTTTCATTTACCCGTGTTTTACTCAACCGATTCTCTAGACTTATGTTTACATTCTTATCACTGGATGACATTTATTGAAAAGTCATCGAAAAGAATAGTGCAACTGATAGCCGTTTCAACTTAGTTTGAAACTCATAAGCAATGAGCAATCATTATCTTACACTAAATTGAATTAAAAATGATACATTTTTATGATAAACAGAATTGGAATCGAATTATATTTTCTGAATTCGGTCAATTCATCACACAGAGTTAACTAGTGCTCAGTATTAAACTGTTTCGAACAGAAGAAAAACGACCATTCTAACCTCCAGCTGATGTTCGTCTATGCTCAGATCTATCGCAAAATGTTTCCGTAAGTGGTTTTATGTTTTGTACTTGTGCATACCTGATAGAGTAACGTAGTTCGGTAGGATAAAACAATTTATTAGATAATGGTTTTTGCATAATTAAAGCCATGAGTGGTGGTCGACATAATATCGATAAACGAAAAACAATAGTGACTACCAACCATTTGGGATAGTAATTAGTTTATATCAAGAATAGTTTGCAATAACACAATAGGTCAGTTTGGAACTAGTGGATTTCAGCATAGAACCTTAGGGGGATTACACAAATTGTCCTATGAAGCTTATTCTATCCGAACAACAAATTCAACCTACATAAGAGAACTAAGATGAAAAATATCATGATAAATTTTACTTAAGTGCATTAATGTACGATTAAAAAACCATTAAAATGACCACTGACTAAACAAGAATCAATAAACTTTCTATTTATTGTAGCAATTAATATACACTTTTAATGGAGAATTCATATAAAGATGATTACACTGTTTGAAGTAAAGTATGTATAAGAAGTTACACGAAGTTAAAAGTCCACAAAGGTTTAAAAAAAATTGATCCTAAACTTCTAAGACAAACTTACTATTGAGTTCAGTTATTTCCCGTACAGATGTGTGATATAATGTGAGTAATTCTTGTTTTTGCCAATTCTCTGTACGTAATTTATTTGCCAAACGTTCTCGTTTCTCATTGGCTAAATTGAAACAATTTTCTAAAAATGCATGCCTATGGTTATTTGTTGACGTATGTTGATTAATCATAGCAACATTATGCAAATTTTCTACATCTGAGTTCAAAATGCAACAATAAACATCTTTGGTTATAAAGTGTCCGGATTGAAGTCTACATGACAACGATTGTGAATCGTATTGATGAACACTGCTATCATAATTTGAAGTGTCTACAACCTTTAGGTTAGCGTTGGTTAGACACTTGGAAACCAGCTGACCTGAATGGTGCATTTTGGAAGCTAGTGTTAAGTTTTCACGATATTTCACAGTTAATCTAAGGGCATAAATCTTTGACTCTAGTAGTTGACGTAGTCTGCAGCAATAATTATCCATTATTTTTTCACTTTCGCTTGGTTGAAGTATTACGACATTAGAATTCGACGATGAGTCATTATTAGAAGACGCTCTATATAAATCGAAAGGGAAATAAAATAAAACATCAAGTCAGATTTAAATAAAGATTTGACCAGTACGTTTTTTTGTAAACTACAATAAGATGTCGAAGATCATTAGCTTTCGGACGTAAATAATTAATGAAAAAATATTGTTAAACTGATTGCTAGCGATCTGAGACCAAACGTTAGCAGCCTATGCTTGTTTTCTATCCTGACAGCCCAAGTATTAAAGCTATGATTAGCCCGAAACGAACTACCGTACAGTATACTTGTTATTTTATATTCAGAGAGATGTCTCACCTGTGTTAGATGTGGTACGAGTTAGAAGAGACCAAAATAAAATTCTGTATTCGTGCCGAAGTTTCGTCAGCCACCAGCTTATCATCATTGGTGCGACTTGCACGATAAACAAACTAATCAAAACACTCAGTATACATACATTACGCATTGATACTGCTAGGTTTGAAGCTAATACGAGTTCACTTAGTATGCGAACTTAACAAAGACTTGTGACCGTAGACCAATAAGCTAGCTATTTCATGCGTCCCAACCCCGCTAACTAGAGGAAGAAGTCCAAGCTTGGAACGGGAAAGTATATTCCGTAAGCCAGAAGCACGAGTGAATAATAACAGACACAAATCAAACGTATATATACAGCATAAAACTGTCCTTGGGAAGCGTTGCAAAAATAGCATACTAAAAATACACAACGGACCAATAGCGTTAAAGATTCTCCCAAGTGGGAAATACGACATGAAGGTGAAAAGTGCGCTTTTGGCGCGAAAACAAGGAAATGCAAATTTCCTTAACAGATACAAACCGTTCTTGAGTTAGAATATTGCATTTGGGGGCTAGTTAACTCCCATGCCAAACACTTTTTATATTTTTGCTTTAGATGTCTAAATGATTCTGAACAACGCTTTCTCTGAAGCTTAGCAACTGCCTAAATCGCGTGTTAACCGGAGAGAATGTATAATTGATGACGTCGATAGTTTGAGGGTATATTTACAGAACCCATAGAAAAACTGACAGAGGATAGTCATTCACATTTTAGTGTAGCTATTTTTGTAGTATTAGCTCTGAAAACTCTAAATCATGTTGCCTGTTATATCGCTGTACCCAGCTCCAGTCAATACGCACCATTTTAAACCTCGTATTTTTAATCGTATCGCTATACAATCAACCTCCCTAGTATAATGGAACACAGAAAAACAATTGTTCGAGTCAATATAGACGTATTAAGTCGTCGTAATAGGCGAGTCTAATCACAGTAGGAGCTATGGCCAAGTAGAAACAATCGAAAAAGCCAGAAAAAGGTGGATTTGAAGTACAGATTATTATACTCGGCTTAGAACCATATATGTTTTATGCAGTTAGTGGAACTAACCAGCTGCCCAGACAGAGGTTCGAGCTTATGCTGTACTGAAAGCCATCTCCTTTACCCCTTCACGAAACCGCCGCTCAGCGTATATGAACACACAGTCATGATTTAATTGCGGTTCTAGTAGGTGAAGCGCAAAATCTTAATGCAGAAAGCAGCTTGATTTTTCCTTTTGAGTGGTTTCAGGATACTAAGTATACTGTCGAGTGGGTTTCGACGGTTACCGTGAGCTGCAAAAGTAGTTAAATTTGAACTGAAAAATTACTGTTAATACTTTCCTGAAAAGTGGTGAGGAAGACATGAAATGGGGATTTAGTGAACAATGAGGAATATTCTACTGCTAAGGGTTACACTAACCGTAACTTTACACATGCCCATACTGACGATGTCTTGAATTTTAAGCACCACAAAATATGAATTAGAAGGTAAAATAGATGGCAGCTTACAACTCATAAACTTGTCCTGGATATACTATTTATCACAATATTTGACTCTAATTATATACTTTTAAATTCAACCCGAATAAAAACAATTAAGAATTTTAAGAACAAAACACTAGTTTCTTTAGCATTTACTTACTGAATAAGGGACATAGATGTTGGAATACACTTTTCAGTTGAATTGCTAGGTACATTATTAGCATTATTTGATCCCACAAAACTACGCACAGGAATTACACCAATTTCAGTGAGTTGAGCTTCGACCAACTGACGCAAACGAACTTCTTCACCTAAATTTTGCTCAATTGTGTTTAAATTAACCCGTTCAGTACGGCATTTATTAGTTAGCTTTGAAATACGTGATGAAATACCCTCGTTCTCTTGACGTTGGTTGGACAGACTGAGTCGATTGAGGTGATCGTCATGTTGAAGACTGTTTAATTGGTTACGCAATTGTGTTTCCAGTCCACGCATGGACTGTAATTCGGAACGGAGACGTCTAACGTTACTCTCTAATCTATTGTAAAAATATCAGCAAAGTGTACGTTAGTTGTTAGATAAAGTACAATACACAAAAGTATGCAAATAATCAATACAACGTATTATTTTGAACAATCAAGGTCATTTTTTCTGCTAGGGAGAAATTAGGTTGTATAGGTATTTGTTATTACATGTCAGTTCTTTCTTCAAACGATAAACACGATGACAACTTTCTAGTTCATATTTCCGCGATAACCCTAGCTGCTACCTTATCGGTTGTTATTCTTTTTAGTTTGCTTTATTACATGTTCAAGATTATTGCACTTTATTATAGAAAGAGCTGTTGTACTTCATTCTTTTACTTCTATTAGGGGTATAAAGCTATACTAAAAATCCTGTCATCTCTATCTTATGCATTATCAATGTTGAAGTAATATAAGTTCAGTTTGTTCGAGTTCCTACTCGTTTGCGTTTGTATAAGGAGAATCCCAATCGTCCAGTAATTAACGATTACCGTAAGTCCGTGCCGATTGCGTCCAAGCTATTGGCTTCCGTCATACTTCGTAGGTTGTTCAAAACACGAGAAAGATTGACTCGCGAGGAGCAGGCTGGGTTTCGTTCTGGTCGAGGATGTATTGATCATATCTTTACCCTCCGCCAAATGTTAGTTTTGCTCTATGCTTGTGAAACCTGGTCTCTCCGAGTTGAGGACGCTAGACGACTCTCCGTGTTCGATCATCGCTGTCTCCGAAGGATTGCTGACATACAGTGGCAACACCATGTCAGTAATGCAGAGGTTCAGCATCGTGTGTTCGGGTACAGAGATGATAATGCAATCGATGTCACCATCTTGAAACACCGACTTCGGTGGCTTGGACATGTTCTACGAATGTCGTCCCGGAGAATTCCACGTCGTGCATTATTTGCCGACTCTGGGACTGGTTGGAAGAAGCTGAGAGGTGGTCAGTGCATGACATGGTGTCGTGGCATGAAAGAAAGCTGCAAAGGACTGGCTTCTGTCGATCCTTCACGACTCCCTGGTTGGGGTCTGAGAGATGGTGCAACACAGTGGCTAGAGACGTTATCAGATATGGTTCAGAATAGAAGCCAGTGGCGATCCTGCTGTAACCTTCTTTTACTTTCTTCATAGAAAGTGGTTGTGTCTCCCTTAACTGAAAGATTTCTTCTGATTGTACCTTTGCTTTCCCTCATTACTACCACACTACCTTACACCAATCTCTTCGTTGTTGTTCTCTTTTTTTTCTATTTCTCTTCGAATTCTCATTGTTTTGTGTGGCGCATATAAATTGGCGCTCTCTTGTACCAATATTTATGTGTTCAAATAAATAAATAAATAAATTACCCACTACCTAGCGGTGTTGTTTACGAAATTGAGAGGACGAAAAGCAAATGTCCGGCATCCTAACAGGGGTGGTGGACAAGAAAGGTTCAACTAGGTGAGATAAAAAAAACCCTGATTCCAAACCAATGGTGCACATGGGCTCCAGGATCCCGAGGGAACGAATAACGTATGAACCAGTCGTCGATCACCCGACCGAAGCTGCTACCTTGACGCGGTGGTCGGGCTTGCCTATCGTGATGACCCAACCGAGCTATATTGGCTGGAACATATGTTCCTGTAGGTTCTACCATGCCAGGCAGGTCGATTGGAGAACAGTAAGACTAAAAGCAGCAACTCAAGATCGGAGGGCGAAGTCGTACTGCTGACTGTAGAGAGATGTGACAGCAGTAAGGTGTTTCCCCCAGACAACCAGCATCTGCAGCGATGCTGCTTTCCCACAAGGAGGGGTAGGGTTAGAAAAGGTCGACCCTAAAAATGTCACACCTCACCTTACCTCACGGATTTCCGTCTCCGGCGGCAAGGCCCTTTGAAGAACGGAGCTAACACGTCAAAAACCTTCCACAAAAAGGCCGTGCGCGACCGGCCTCAAGCAGTTGTCCCTTGGGCTTTGCGGTCACGCTCCCAGGTCGTTAAGACCAGCACTAATCCAATTTCCTTTTCAGGTTCCTCAAGAAATACCCTTCCACTGTGTAGACAGCCTGGAAGTGATATCAGCCCTCATACCCGTAACAGCACACGAGACCAAGTTGGTCACATTCAAACCCTTCCTACACCTCCTAATACCTCTCTTATCTCCATGACTAACCCACCTCACGTCTCTTTATCACCTCGCACCGCTAGGGCAAACGATTCGAGTACGCGGAACGCCCTACAATAGTAGTATTTCTCGACCAGTATTAGCAATCAGATTAACCGAGGTCATAGGTAGAATTTGAAAACTGGACATAATCCCATCTGACTGGTCTCAATCACTGATTGTGCCAGCCTATAAGAAAGGACAAAAGTCCTCTTGTGACAATCACAGAGGAATCAGTTTGACTAATATAGTGTCTAAAATATTAGCCTCAATAATACTTCGATGCCTAACTAAAGCTCGTGAAGAGCAGATTAGAGAAAACCAGGCCGGTTTTCGACCTGGACGTGGTTGTATAGATCAGATATTCACACTACGTCAGATTCTAGAACACAGACACACATTCAGACGCCCCACAATCGTAGTATTTCTCGACCTTAAGGCGGCATTCGACTCTATTGATCGTGAGGTTCTATGGCAGTGTTTGTCACTGAAAGGAGTACCAAAGAAGTACATTAACCTTATAAAGGCTCTCTACTCGAACACAACTGGTCGAGTGAGAGCTTATGGCGAACTATCATCAGAATTGATCACCTCAAGTGGTGTTCGTCAGGGCTGTCCACTCTCCCCATTCTTGTTCAACTTTGTCGTCGACGTACTTTTAGAGATAACACTCTCCTCATCTAAATATACAGGGGTTGAACTTCTACCGGGAGGTTCACTTGTTGACTTAGAATATGCTGATGACATAGTTTTATTTGGTGAAGACGCTGACAAAATGCAGAGTCTTCTGACCACTCTAAGCAACAATGCAAGCATGTTCGGGATGCGATTCTCTCCCTCGAAATGCAAAATGTTGCTTCAGGATTGGGTTGCATTGACACCCGAACTAATGATAGGGAGTGAAGTAGTTGAGCGTATCGACTGCTTCACTTATCTTGGAAGTCTCATCAGCCCTTGTGGTCTGGTGTGTGACGAAATCTCAGCACGGATGCAGAAGGCTCGGCTAGCTTTTACCAACTTGCGTCATTTATGGCGTAGGTGAGATATCCGTCTACCAACCAAAGGACGTGTTTACTGTGCAGCAGTTCGTTCCGTCCTACTTTATGGCAGTGAAACATGGCCGGTAAGAGTAGAGGATATCCGTAGGTTACTAGTATTTGATCATAGGTGTCTTCGAAACATTGCTCGTATATCATGGGACCATGGAGTAAGTAACACAGTTGTCAGGAAACGGGTACTAGGTAAGGATGGCAAATCAATTGATGAAGTAATGAAACTTCATCAGTTGAGATGGCTGGGACATGTGTTACGTATACCCAACCACCGACTGCTTCGATGTGCGATGTTTTGTTGTATAGGAGTAGGTTGGAAGGAAGCTAGGGGTGGCCAGACCAAAACATGGCACAAGTCCATGAAGTCACTGACAAGTAGACTGAGTCATATTGGTAGATGTAGACTACCTGGTTGGGGGCCGCGAGATGATAGCAACCGATGGTTAGAGACCCTGAATGACATGGCTCAAAATCGTTTGCAATGGCGCAGGTCCATCCACTCTCTGTGTTCTCCCAAATTCTAATCTTCTGAATTCTTCATGTCCCTTTCTTTTTTCCTCTTTCCAAATTTCTTTCACTGGATTATACTCTTTAAATAACATCTCCAAACCCTAATCTTCCCGATTACTGCTTATACTCTTATTACCTCTACCACTACGGGATTTGAATCGACAAGTGCATCTCTGTGCTAATGTGGTGTGGCAACTCGAACTGACGTACGTACGTACGAAGTTCTACGTTGTTACTGACTGACTGACTGAATCGTCGGTCACCGGCTACCATAGGACCGCATCTCCTTACGTTGCTCCGCTGTCTTGTGGGTTATATCTTTAGGTCGAAGGCACCGGATGTGGCCCCCTAATAAAGCACCTGCTTCCGTTTGGACACCCGGACAGTATCATAGCCCACACACAAATCAAGTGACTTGTGTGACTCATATATATTCGGCGCCCCTTTGTACCAATATTTATGAGTTCAAATAATCAAATAGATAAATAATAAGTTGGTAAAGACACGCAGTGAATAGGAATTAATACCATAAAGAAATTTTTTAACTAACTTGATTAAGTTAATTCTATAAACAGAGTAGATAAATAAAAACTAAAACGTTCAACAACTAGTTACATACGGAATTATAGCCTACAAATTTGACAGAATGACTGTCAAACACGTTGTAAATGTTGTAGTGATTCAGTTTAAAAATGCAAAAAGACTAAAGACCGTTAAATTAACACAAATTCGCATACCTCGTTACTGGATCTTCCTTAGCACCTCGTTCACGTACTGGTTTCCCACTACTAGATTGCTTAGGAACACAACCATTAACTGAAGGTTTAGAATTAGAGTAAAGGTTCACTGAATTCTCTGTGGTATATCGACGACTAATTTGCGATCCAGACGGACTTGACTCAAGGCACTGAATAGCTCGACGTAGACCAGCATCAACAACACAAGTATTTGATATTACTCCATTTACTATTGTAGTCGAGGAATGGTTAAAACGTGCAGTTCGACTGTAAGTATAGCATGTGAAATGATCGAAAATACTTAACAGAAAACATTTATCACATGAACTAGACATAGTCGTAAAGTTTAAATGCAATGCAAGGATACCTGTCTACCAATATGATATATATATATATAAATATAAATATATATATATATATATATATATATATCATATTGGTAGACCTAGCAATGATAGAGAAAAAAGCTGCAAGAGAAGAGGAAACATGAGACAACCATACGATACGATGAAGTCAGATGGAAAATATGGTGAACGAAAGCAACCAACCAATAACAAAGTTAAAAATAAACGGTGAGATTCAAGAGCAACGGAATAGGAGAGCACAACACTATCAAGAGCTCTAAAACAGACCAGCCCAACAAAACCCCCTAGGAATCGAAGCAACACACGAAAACTTCCCTACATATGTTATCGCACTAACAGTAGAAACTAATATGGCCAAAAAAGTCAAGAATGGTAAAGCAGCAAAACTGGACACCAGACCAGATGGTGCATTGAATTCTGACATGGAAGATGCCCCAAGGTTTCTTCAGACAGATTTGGGAGGGAGAACAAGTTCCGACAGACTTGAAAGATAGATATCTCATCAATCTACTGGAAAAACGAGATCTTAGCACGTGTGAGGGCAAGAGGCATCATAATAATATCAGTACCAGGAAGTTTTCAACGGTACTGTTAAACCGAATGAAGGATTCAGTACATGTTCAACTTCTAGACAAACATGCTGGATTTTGTAAGGATCGACTATGCACCGGCCAAATGGCGACACAATCAATCGAATGAAACTCATCACTACGCACCAACTTACTTAAATATGGAAAAGCATTCGACAGAGTGGATAGGAGGACCTCATGGGACGTTCCTCGACACTATGATCTATCTGAGAAGATTGTCACAATCGTACGGAATTCTTACAACAGACTGCACTGCAACTTTATGCATTGAGTGCGGTTCAAAAATGTATTCCAAGTGAAGACCAATGACAGACAAAGCTGCTCACTATCCCCCTTTCTCTTTCTTCTGGTGGTTAAGTTGATCATGAAGACCTCCATATCTGAGGGGAAGCACAGAATACAGTGGATAGCTTGGATGCAGATAGACTATTTGGACTTCACAGATGACCTAGCTTCTCTATCCCATTCACAGCAACAAATACAGGTGAAGACAGTCAAAGTAGTGTCAGTCTCCACAGCAGCAGGCCTCAACATTCACATGAGAAAAAGTAATATCCTAAAATATAAAGCGAAGACCAACCAAGTTAAACTTCATGGGGAAGCTCTGGAGGTGGAAACTTTTACGAACCTCAGCAGTATCACTGATAAGCAAGCGGGATGTGATGCAGGCGTTGAGGCACGGACTAACAAAGCAAGACCAACATTCATAAGATTGAAGAACATCTGCAACTCAAAAAACTGTCAGAATCTTCAATAAGAAAATCAAGGCAGTACTATTGTACGGAGCTGAAATTTTGAGAACTACTATAACCATCATAAAAAAAGTACATATATTTATAAACAGTTGTATACACAAGATACTCTAGATGCGTTGATCAAACACCATCAGTAATAACCTACTCTATTACAGAACCCATCGGCAACCAGTTGAAGAAGAAATTAAGAAGAGACATTTGGGGTGTATGGGCCAAACTTTATGGAAACCATTGAGATCATGAACCGCTCGATGTCAGACCACCATTGAAAACGTGGAAGCACTGAGCGGCTGCATCTTCATATTGTGGGACTCCCCAGCAGTGCGCATCCACGGTCCCGCTCACGAGATTCGAACCCAGAGCCTTCGGTCTCACACGCGAACACTTAACTTCTAGACCACTGGGCCGAAATCCATTCACTCTCAACAGTTGTTATATGTGCTCGACAGAAAAATGAACGGCTCAATTTGTCTGATGGAATTTCAAAATGTTAGGTCCAAAGAATAATATGCGTTATTGTTCCACGAATATTTTATAAACAATTTAAGATACACCAGTTGAAATACATTCCTTAATTCAAGCAGAGCATATAGCTTATAATATGGGATTTTAAAATACCAATGTGATAAAACAGGTAAAGCATACCTATCAAAATCCAAGTATTGTTTATCAACAGATCTGAGATAGCCGAAAAACCAACGAACTAAACGACCAAAACATAATTGACCAAAGCGAAAAGGTATGAATACCGATCGACTATAAAAATCTGATGAGAACTAGTAAACAAAAAACAAGACATTCCGGAAAAGGAAAAACACGACGATTAGCATTAAAAATAAAGTCTGACAATTGGAAATCTAATCAATCGAATATATCAATGAGAAGTGGTTGAGAGATGACAGCTCACAACGAAATTCGTTGGATGCTAAAATGCTACACGAGTGTCCAGCAAAGCTCATCCTTCTACTGATAGATGAATACAAAAATATCTAACGCGAAATAAAAAATGACTACAAATTATGTCATGCGAACGTGATCACTGCAGTTTCTCAAATCATCTAGTGAATTTAAGCCTTGACTATCGAGTTTAGCGACTTGTATACGCACTTAATAACTGCCGCGCCAACGACATAGTGGAGAAATCCTACCAAAGATCTTCGAAGCTACTTCAAATATTGAAGCTTCAATGTGTAGTTATGTAACAGAATACTTCAGTATTCAAACAAAAATGCTAAGGTTTGTATTAGAATGCGAGTGACATTTTGACAATGTCAATCAAGTATACTTCATGTAGGAGCTGAAGACATTGTTTAGAATGACAATGGATGCTCTGCAACTAAGCCATTTGGGTCGGAAAACTCATAGTCACTAATAGAGTCCGTCTGAGCTACAAATTTTATTGATTATCTCAATGGTGATGCTTTCTTGAAATTCTCCCAAAAACGAACATCGCGCGGCTGGTATTAGGTTTAGACAAAAGTCAGAACACTTCTCCTACCAGGCACTGACTTTATTACAATTGTCACGTAGGTTATCATTCAGCTAGTCATCAGCAACGTAGAACCGGGTATGCATTTGCGTCGGCCCACTTTCCCGTACCACGTCAGTATAGTCGGAGGAAGTTACCAGGATGAATATAAAAGTGGTTGAAGTAGTTGCGGCAGTAATGGTAATAGTAGTAGTAGTAGTAGTAGTGGTAGTAGTAGTAGTAGTAGTAATATCAGTTGAAGTGAAAATATACTAGACATAGGGGATCATTTTTCAAAAAGAAACCGTTAGTTTGTGGAATCAAAAGTATGAAATAATTTTGAAACTCAAATTATGTAACTATGGGTAAAATGGAAGAACGTTTGAGCATCTCTTCTTAGAATGAGACCTTGAACTGTGATCGTATGAAACTCTAAGGATGAATGAGAACAATACCCGTTGATAAAAGACTCACTCAAGTTGCAAAGTGTGCGGAAAATAAACTCAACAATTACGAGAATGTGACAGTGAGACTCAAACTGATATAGCCTAGCTCCAAACTTAGTCTGCGATGAAATTAGTCGCAAGGACTGACAATAAAAATTTGCGGATATCATCAAGTGGTTACTAGTCGATCTTATTAGGCTAAGGGAGAGAGAACAAAGTAAGGCAATCAAGGTGCACATCTTTCCAGATTTTGAAGGTAGTTGGTGCTAATATTGTGGTCCCATGTCTAATGACCAAGATGTCTTTGGGGGTCAACGTAACAATGGGAGTTTTCACATAATGAGTGGTAGAAGCATTGTCATTCGTTTGTGAACAATGCAGGACCTGGTAACAATGCCCAATAGCATGTCAGCAAACTTCAGACTGGGGTAATAAGGGGAGACTATTGTTCGAGTCATGCAAGGATGTTATTTGCATCATTATGAAAAGAATCTACAGCCTGTTCAAGGAATAGTTTGGTAGTAAGCTACAATGGCTTAGGCGATATTTTACCATTCTTTTGAATTAAGTGACTTGTAGTCACACGGAGAAAGAACAGAAGTTAAACACCCACACAAAGATCATAGTGTAAACAATATCAATTTTTCAAAAACATGTTATTGATGGGAGAAGGAGCAAAAATGTGAAACTATGGAAACTGTTTTTGGCGGGATCAGTTTGTGTATATCCTGTTTCTTAACTAAGGAAAGAGTTCGTAGTATTTGAATATTTTTCCGATTGAGAGCTATGATCTTACCGATAAGCTGTTGAGTTGCCTTCAACAGTTCGGAAATAACAGTTAGTGGACTATGTACCTATGACTCAACTTTTTGTGACAACTATCCGTATTGTATACCTATTGAGATTCGTTAGTCAGTGTTGTGGGCTTAAATTCTACGTCGTTAATCACGAGTTATCAGTCTAAAATAAAAGTAAAAGAAAAAAACATCAGGTACTTGGATGACTTTTTAGTGTTCTGATTGGTAACAAACAGACGATTTTGAAGAGAAGATCGTTGGTATACACAGCAAATGTCTAGGCACACTATAAATTATACGCTCAAATAGAATTAGATCATGTTGAAAAAAAGGTAAACAATGAACAAACCAGAAAATAGCACTTCTTTGAGAAGTCAATGACTGTAGATCCAAACAATACCGGAAGGTTTAAACCTCCTAAAATGAATCCTCTATGAGGCGTAAATCAGAATTTTGTCACTGTAACATGGTAGTTGACGTATTGGCTAAAGCGTCACACTTAACAAGTGACTGAAACTACATAGTTAAGACCGAATTTGAACTTGATTTGTTTTCTCGGGTTTGCTGCCGCAGATCTCCATTTAGGCATCGAATGGTTATCAATGCTAATATGTTAGACAACAAATAAACTAAGCTGACTCTGTATTGTTATCATGAGGGAGTTTACTCCCCTTTTTGTAAGATTGAAAAATGATAGAATTTTGTTTACCTACCAAACGTCAACTAATAATGAGTTATTATGGTTAGGGACCCTCTCTTTAAGACAGTTAACATTGACTTATTAGGAACAAATAATCCTCACTGCATAAAGTGGGCTATAGATTTTAAATTTCGTTGGTAGGTGGAGCTGATCACTTAAGACCTCTAGTCATTTTATCTTGTCATAAGCAGAATACTTATTCACGTAAATATTTAAATGATGTAAGTCTTGCTTATCCGTAGAGCATCATGATCAATTAGAGGTTGACAAACCATTGAAATATATAGCTGTATATAATCTGTATATTTAAAAATGTACTACGATATTAAAGGTAGATGAGTAATGAGGTTTAAAAAATGAGATAAGAACTCACATCATCAGACATTGCAACTTCATGAACTTCTAGGGAATCCTTTTGAAAATAATCAAGACTATGTTGAACGTCTGATTCAAGTATGTTTAAATGTAACAGAAACTTACAAGCGTTGTCGTTTACCGACGACAGTGGGAGAGCTTCATAAAGAATTCGAAAATGCAGGTAATTTTGCCTTCTAACATTCATTCTTTTAAACTAAACATCCTATATAAAACTTGAAAAGTACCTACATCTCGATAGCTGATATCCAGGTACCGTTTTAGAGAAAATCCCACACATACTACCGAGTAGCCAATACTAAGGGCGTTTAATCACACTAATTTCATCATACCTGTGTGCTGCAAATGGACGGAAAACATAAATGCTGTGAGTGAATTTTGTCGCTTTTGAGTAGAGACTAAATTCAAAATATATGAAAACAAAACACAGCGACAAAGTGAGGAAACACAACCCTTGATCTGAAACTTTTATTATTTAGTTAGTCATCACACTAACCAGTGTGTCGAAAAAAGTATAGCCACACATACGCACTACCGAATGTGTAAATCCATGACACAGGGATCAAGAAGAAACACATTAGATCAATTGTAATCAAAATAATAATAAAGACAATTGTGTATTGCTGCATGTGAAATATGAACAGACATAATATTTACCAGTCCTTGGAACTTCAGTGAGTCATGTATTGAGCAAACAGATAGCCAAACAGGCCAAAAGTACTCAAACCTCATGTCCGTTGATTGATTTACTACAAACAATAATCCCCATATTATGGATATCAGGAGGTATTGGACGTAACTGAGGATAGTTGGAAATATTTTGAATACTTACGACAAAGATAGTAACTCGAATACCTTGCTTCGTTTACAGGAACGTTTCAGTCTGTTTAAGTCAACATTTTTACGACGAGTGGGCATAGCCACTTAAAGCAAACATCAGACGAAACTCAACAGCCTGATTCGTGTACTCGATTGGCCCGCTCAGTAAACTGTTCTTATGGCGAAGACATTGCAAAGAAAACCAGAAAATAATTTTCTAGCTCTAAAATCAACTTTCAACGTTCACAGTATTGCTAAATTTATACCGCAAAAAACATCTTATTGAGCTTCCAGTTTGCAATAATGTAATGAATTATTCTCAACTATTAGTTTAATGGTCTCAACACTTGACCTATCAACCAATCACAGTCAAGCAGAATTTATCACTTCTGACACCTTTTTAAGCATGATAGGATGTAAGCTTGATCCTGTGTATTTTCGCTGGCACTTAATGCTACTAGAATAATTTGAGTTTCAATGTGACCAGTTTTCCATATGGGACTTTTCAAATGGTGGATTAAAATTCAGAGAGACGAGAGGCTAGGTCCCCTGTGTTAGTCCTGGTGGATGAAGTCTTTCAGTTTTTACAACTTTTGTGCATATCGATAGATGGAAATTGAACCATGCGATGAGGTAGGGAGCTTCACGTACTTATAATTCAATGGTCAGTTAACATGCAATTGATTCTGAGCTTGCGAACTTTTACGAAATGTAAACCTTCTGTCATAGAGGAAAAGAAAAGTGATGGAATATTAGATCCCAAACATTTACCACGTAATTGATTTGAAGACAAAAGGAAAGTCTTCTCTGATCCTTTTTTAAAACGCGTGGATTAGTTCAAACAAACCCACCTCAAATAGAAGCACTACGATTACGAGGGTTAACCATGTTGTGTTTCTTCTGACCTCTGTCAACCGCAAGCCTTGATTTTCGAGCTAGGGTTAGCTGCGAGTAAGCAATAATGAAACATACACTGGAAAGAAACCCTCGATATACATGGCTTTGTTAGCCTTCTACATTGGTGCTGACCTCATTGGTTTGAAGATGCCACACGTATTCGGAATTTGACAACACCTCAACCAGTAACACCTTATATAATCGAAACATGCCAACCCAATCAAATCGGAAGTCAGAAGCAACGACGTTCAAAGATATATTTGATATGCTCTCGATATGTAAGGAAGTGATTAATTTACGAAGGCTAGTGGTCGTAGGAGATGTGGAGCACGGCGTACACAATCGTAATCTGGTGCGGGTGAGTAAGCGGGCGTCTTCACTAAGGTGAGATCAGTGAAACTAATGCGGTCAGCATCAAATGCCGAAGATTTACAGAGCTATCGGTTTAGGAGATTTATTTACGTCTACAGATCAATCAACCAGATTGTCGGGTAGTTCTAACCCTAGGACCTGTCCAGTCAGAAGTCGAAACTCAGGGGGTTTGTCGTCGGTAAACAACCTTCTGATAGCTTGACATGTTCAGCAGCGCCTGGTTGACTTTATTTATTATAAGGGGCCATGTTGTAAAATAAGTTATTAAAACACAGGTACAATGAAAATTTCGATCCATCTTTTTTCCAGCCGTCATAAGAGTGGAAGAAAGGACACATGATTACATTTCGAAACACACTCGTAGGTGTGTAAAAACACAGAATAGGCAAATAAAGGAAAACAAACTTAAATAAATGCGTTCTGATTACATGCAATAGCGTGGGAAAGATCTCGAAAAGACTTGTTTTTTGAAAAAATAAAAATATATACATGCAAACAAACATAATATCAATAAAAAGTTTAGTTTCTTTTCCAGATGAAAACATTAAAAAGATATGAGCATATTAAAAATACTTTGTTTTTGTTCGTTTGGAAATAATAACAAAAAATCGAGGCGAAACAAAGTGTCATGTGGTGTCATACGTGCAGTAATCCTTTAGGCATTCTGAAAGCCTTGAAGTGGTATTTGGCCCTAATCACACAATCCTCAAAGCTGGACACGAGACATCTGGGAAAATAGACAATCAACATTTAACGCGGAGAAAAACTCAACGATGGAGAAGGCGAAAATATTAAATTGAATTAGCTGGAATTAATCGGATGGCACGACTCAGCCTGGCAGGGATGCTCACTCTTGAGTGTTTTCTTATATTTTTTATTAATATTAAATATATTGTGTTTCCTCTAGCTTGAGTTTGTTCTCCACCATATATCTGTGATTGTTGCGACACGATGAGTTGGTGTAGACAGTGATGTGACTTCCACGTAAGATCTTATAGATTAGGCAGTTATATCATGACAAATCTACAATTTTAGGATTAAGTATATTATTAGGGTAGTACTAATAACGAAGTAGACCATAATTCTACAGCCTTGCCATTCCTCTAAAACGCGTTGTTTTAAGTCGTTTGTCAGATACCACCGACGTTTCACCGTGATTGTTGATTATCAGATGAAGTAGAGCCATCGTGTGGCTTACGTTTTTCTTGTGTATCGGAGGAAAGTCAACATGATTAGGGTCTCTTTCTGAATACTCGTCTCCTTGTGAATGTGTGTGTAAACCTCTCCATGTGCACACTTTTGCGATATAACGCGCTGTCGTCCTGTTAAACGTGAAGTTATTCTTCGTGACTCCTTCTGCTGCAGATTTTATTGAACTTATGAATCTAGATGATATAGTTACGATACACTTTTGTCGTAATTTTTGATTTTCTCAGTTTGACACTGAGTTTCTATGATGCTCATCAATTGTAGTAATGTAAGGTTACGTCGGCTGTCGTATTTATTCATTCCCACTCCTTTTTAATGTGTTCCTTAGACTGACTGGACTCGTGGGTTTTTTATTGTGAATCGAAGCATAATTTTAGAACTCAAAACGCTCATTATCGTAATTAAGCTTGTGGTTTTCATTACTCTTGTCGATATTTTTAATATAGTTAAATACTACTTTGTGAACAAACTTCATATTGTCTGTCCTGAGATGACAGGTTACTACTCCTACACTAATAGAAACATTTGATTTCTGCAGCCGGTAATTTTCTTGTACCTAACTAGTGTAATTCTACTCTGAGTCTGTTTGACAATAAATGGGTAGGTGACTAGGTGGTAAGATTTGTTAAGGTAATATGACAATTAGAAATATTTGAATTATAGTACGAACTAAGAATTCCAGAAATAATGCAATTGGATCAAGAAGTACTTGATAATGACGAACGAATGCACTGTATTTGAAATTCGAAATCAAGCATTCAACAAGTACAAATGAATCATTAATTCATTCTAACACCACTTCCGCCACAGCTTAAATTGAAGTCTAAGTGTCTGTAATCATTGTACGTCTTCTTCTTAAGTTCAACCTGTGTCTGTCCGACAATGTATTGGATAAAGACTCTGTATTATCTAGAACGTAGTCATTAGCATTAGAATTAACAACCGAAATTGGAACAGACTCACTTGGTTCCTGGAAGTGTATTTGGTCAACATGTCGTGTCAGTGTACTTAAGTCATTGATATCTAAAATTCGCACCATATATTTTACGACATTCTTCAGCACAATCCCTCTGGATAGTTGAAGATCACTTCCACGATAATATGTAATTTCAGCAAACTTCAAAGATCTCATATTCGACCGAAGAACTCTTCCTTTTAATAGCTTTGATGGAGCCCCTTTCGTCACAGAATATCTAGCATTTTTATATCGCAGTAGAAAAGTATCTACTCCCCTCTCCAGCCCATTAAATGTTGAGGCAGCAATAGAATCAATAGGAGTTTCCAATGTCTTGACAACATTTTCTTCCTGACCATTAAAACAAGGATTTCTGGGAGCAGTAAACAGATGTGTACACCCCATACCATTCAAACAGGCAGTGACTGCATCCGCAACAAAATGAGAACCATTATCAGTCACTAACACCTTGGGAACCCGTTCGCGACTAAGCACCTTTATTAATGCTTGGATTGTGAAGCCAGAATTTGGTGAAGTTGTGAAAAAGACTTCAAGCCACTTTGAAAAAGAATCAATGAATACAAGTGCATAGTATTTGCCAAGAAACGGACCAAAATAGTCTGCATGAATTCTCTGCCAGGCCAAAGACGATACTGGCCACGGAGTATACTTCTAATGCTGATTTTTCGACTTGTGACAGTTCTCACAATTGTTTGCATTTATCTCTGGCCATCAACATGTGGGCCTTACCAAGGACTTCATTTTCTCAACACCTGAATGACCACTATAAAGATCTTCAAGAACAGATTTACGCAATGAAGGAAGAATGACAACACGATCATTTAAACACAGAATACCATCAGGAGTAGTAGAAAGCTCATCCCGCTTTGAAAAATAGATAGGGAATCTACGTTTCAAATTAGCATTCCAACCTTTCCTTATAGCACTGAGTATACATCCAAAATATCTGCGAGTTTCTCTAATGAGATCTGAACGTCTCACTGGTAAAGGTTGCACTAACAAACAATCCGAAGTATTAATAGGTTTATCTTGTAATGACTGTCGAGAAATGTAATCAACATGTTGAATCTGTTTGGCACTTCTGTGCTGAACCGTATAGTCATATGCACACAAAGCAATACTCCATCGCTGAACCATAGCAGCTGAGGAACGTGCTAAGGATTTTTCGGGATGATAAATAAACTTTAAAGCTTCATGATCAGTAACAAAAGTGAATTTCTTTCCGAATAAATATTTATGAAGTCTTTTAACAGCCCAAAACACAGCTAATGCTTCTCGCTGAGTCTGTGAATAACCTTGTTCAGTAACAGTAAGTTTTCGTGAAACACAAATAACTGGTCTACCTTCCTGTTCCAAAACTGCACCAATTCCCACAGGTGATGCATCAGTAATAAGCACAGAATGTACATTAGGGGAGTACGTTCGAAGAACAGCATCACTTTGAAGAAACCTCAGCAGACTTCGTAAGCATGACTCTTGTTCCTCACTCCATTTGAATGAATTGGATGTTAAAATATTAAATAAACAATTTGCACGACAAGAAAAATTAGGAATAAAACGGGAATAGTATTGAAGAGCACCCACTAGTGAACGTAATTCTGTAAGATTTTTCGGAGACGGTGTATTAGTCAGTGGAGCTAGTCGTTTCATATCTGGTCTAAAACCATTACCATCAACTAGGTATCCAAGGCATTCAAAACTAGATACACAAAATGAACACTTATTTGGATTCACTGTAATATTCTTTTCAACTAAACGACGCAATAACGCAATAAGTCTCTGGTCATGAACTACCTTATTAGAGC